CGCCACCAGGTTCGAGCCGCTCGACAGGATGCTCAGCACGAAGAACAGCGTGCCGAGCGAGCCTTCGGCCAGGCCGAATTTGACGTGCAGCCAGTAGGTGATCCAGGAGGCGGGCGTGAGGCCCGAGGCGATGCTGTCGATGGCGAAGAGGAGGCAGAGCTTGGTGAGGATGGATTGGGATTCTGGGGAGAGAGGGGGGAGGAGCGATTTCGGTCCTTGGAGGATGGTGGGGGTGGTGCTTGGTTTCTGGGTGGGTGAGTCGTCGTGGTCTCTGTGCGGAGAGCTTGGAGTCGGGGTGGTGACAGCGCCGTTTTGCTGTTCTGCCAGGAGTGGGCGTGTCTCGCCGTTGGCGGTTGGCTTTGGAGCGGAGGGTCTGCCGTGCTCGGCGGCCGGGGTGAGAATGAGTGATAGCCCGAACTTGACGAGACCGAGGACGGCGTACGCCCAGAAGAGGACCCGATACGACTCCAGCGCCGTCCAGCCACGGTGCATCTGCAGACTCTGCGTAGCCCAACCACACGAGATGGTTCCGCCCGCGGTACCAGCCGAGCCAAAGAGGATATACCAAGCCAGAACGCTGCTGCGCTCGTTCGACGAGATCAATTGAGAGATGGTCGACTCTTCAATGGCTTTGAACGGGCCTATCTCGCTTCCGCTGCCATGCCATTAGCCCTAGTTAGCCCGATATGGAAACTCGTGGAAGCGAGATATTTATCACCTCGGACTGATGACGCCCAAAACACTGGCAGCCACCAAGACCCAATAGTTGCTACACGTGGCAAACACGATCCCGCTGGCCGTCATGAGCAACGACCCCAGCCCCAACATGCGCCTCCTCCCAATGCCATCCGCAATGACGGTCAAGATCAGACTGATCACCACGTCTCCGAGCAGGGTCAGAGTCATAAACAGCCCGATCTTGGGCTCCGAGATCCCGAGGCTGGATAGGTAGAGTGCGAGGATGACCGTCGCTCCGCCATAGGCAAACATGCGCACTAGCCGTTGGAGGCATAGTATCTTGGTGTCGCGAGGTGAGTTGGTGAGTGCTTTGAGGCCGATCTCGGCGTAGAAACGTTGGAGGAGAGAAGGCATTTTCGCCTTCGTTTCAGGCGGACGGTGGTGAAGTGTGGCGGATGGCTGGCCATTGTGGTGGAAAGATTGGTGAAGCAGGTTGGCGCTGTTGCATCATTCAGGGCAGTGCTCTGGATTTGTGTCATCGTTGCCAAGCTAAAACGGCGGCAAGGCGGAGGATGAATGCAGGGGATGTCTTGTGATTTTGTCAGGCTCCAGGCATTATCGTGGGTGCCTGTTGGTGCCTGCTCGTGCCTGGAACTCCAAAGGGGATCTGCATTGGCAGTCAGTGAGGGGTACATCAATTAAGTGTGGTTTGAAACCCATCGGGGCTGTCCTTTTGGCGGAGTGGTTGATGTGTCCCCTTTCTTTGGCCACGCGTCCCTTAGCTTGAAAAGGATCATAGATTCGAAACTACATCTCACGTGTTACATAATGTATCATACATATCTCTAGACCCAACCAAAGTACTATTGTATCAAGACCGGCAGCAGGCGGCGTATGCATCCGACCTGGAGGAGCGGAAATCGGCCCCTGATGGTGCCCTCAACCACCCTTGACCCGTTTGATGAGTGGGATATGATTATATCTATAACTAGTGTGATAACGCCATCCTAGCGCTGTCGCTGATATCGAGGTCTAGGACAATCAGGGCTGATATGCCACATTTGCCTGTCATCTATCCTCGCTCGTACTTGCTCTCGCCCTTGTCTTCGTTCACTCATGCTGCCTGCCTGTATGTATGCGGTCGACTGTGCGGAGACTGATGGATGGGAAGCAGGTGCACGTCGGCTGTACACCCGTGCAGTGGCATCAGATCTAGATACCATCTCCGCTTTGGAAAAGTTTGATGGGTGACGCAACCAGTGCATTTGGCTCCAGGACCGTTGGCAGAACGCCGGCTGCCGTTGTCAAAGAAGAAAATTCTATGCAGAGCCGGAAATGCATGTGTGGAGAACGTGGTGAAATTCGATCAGCCAGTGGGAAGCCTCTTCGGTCCTGGAAGTAGCCAGGTCCATCACCAGTTTCAATGCAATTGCTGAACCGACATGATATGGAAGAGCCCAACCCGCTATTCAACCATATCGCAATCTTTATTCCTGCTATCCGACTGAGCATGATCGGTAGGCCCATGCAGCCCTGCTCGATGCGTGACAAATACACAAGACAACCACGAAGCCATCAAGACACTTGATGGCCCGGTACCATACAGCCTTAAGCGTCTTTACTCGCATCAACACCGTGTCTTGCGATCTTTTCTGAGCGTTGAATCGCTACCCCTATGGCCAGTAGGCTGAAAAGTAGAGTAGTAAACGCAGGCCGGCCAGCTCTTTTAAATTTTTGACACTGTCGCTTGTTTGTCCTCGGGAGCTGTGAATATCACTCGTCAACACGATTTTCCTCGCTCTTCTGCTTGCATCTTGTGAGCAACAAAGGCACTCAGCCATGGCTGGCGAATCCTAAGGTGGAATAGAACCTCAAACTATAAGTAATGATTGGATGATCAACCAACCTCCTATGCTGCCGAGAATGGTAGCCAAGACGATTGTGTTGCCTTCCCAAGTCAAAATTAAATAGGCAACAATACCAACAGCTATTTCCTTTTTTCTGGCTATCGCTCTCCGGGACTTCCAATCGGGATCAATATCGAAGGGAGGATGGAGACGAATATCATCTTCTTGGTTGGGTGGCTTAGGAATAGCTCCCAGTGGCACTGATAGCGATAGACCTACAGGGCGATGATCAGATGTTTCTAATTGGGGCAGCACGTCGTATTTGTGCACTCTGATTTTCTTTTGCATCCACACGGGTGATTCGAGATAAAGGATGCGGTCACACCAGCTTGGCCACCGGTGTCTGGCCCAATTCCAGTCACTGGAGCCGTTGGATGCTAGAAGTTTGTAAGTTGGTGGAAACTTGATCTCCGCTTCAGACAGCCCATGTAAGGTATTCCCAAGTTTGCGCTGCTGAAGCAGTTGATCATTTTCTAGTAGCATCATGAAGTGGTTCTGGTTATCCGCCTCATCTGTCGGTTGAGGGAACTTCTCAAAATCTGACTCCTTGGGTTTCGTCTCCGAAACACGGTAGTTGAGGTCTCCTGCCACGAACAAATGCGACCTTGGACTGTACATGCCGAGTTCTGAACCATCTCCATGTGGAAGGCCTTGTAAAAGAGGTGCGTCCTCATCTTGCTCGTCACGCGTGGCTCTGACATTATTGGTGAATACCAGACGCTTCACAATGTTCCTCCAGTCTTCGTTCCTGCGTAGCATTGCGTTTTCCATTGGCGCAATGTGTGCTGCGACAAACGTCAACTGTGTCTCCGAATACACGAGACGGATCCCCACGGCTCCTTTATTGCCCAGTTCCTGTACACCCACGCCGACACCAGCTGTTTGTATAGATGATATATTGGTAGGATCCTTGGCAAAAATCATGATAGCCGTCATCCCAAGGTTGCGCGAGATAACATGAGCATGACCTTTGGCCGCAAGCTTGACCGCTTCCCGGATGGCATCAAAATAGGGAGTCAGAAAGGAGCCACCCAGGAATGAGTATGCGATTGGTGCAATTTCTTGCAGCGATATGACGAGGATGTCAGGAGTCGGCACGTCTTGTGGGAAGGCATCAAGAATGTGCGGACCGAATTGATGAGCCTGTACAAGCGTACGAGCGCAGTTGAAGGTCACGAGGTAAAGACTGATATTGGCCATAGCTCTGTGAGCCTAGAGGTCTCTCTTATCGGTTCATGGTGATGCTTCAAAGCCACTGCGATGGGTGGGCAATTGCCGGGTCCCCGATTGGGTAATATCTTTCTTGAACGTGTGGCTATTTCATTGGAATAGACCACGTGCGCAGCGCTCAAAAAAGGGAGTTCGTATGGTACGGTACGGTGCTAAATCACCATCGTCAGAGCAGTTTCGGCAGAAATGCCAGGTACTATCTTCCATTCATGTTTGATAGAAAAGTAGGAAAATAATGTGGTGCTCTGGTAGTAACTAACTTACTACGTAAAGAGATATGTTGCCAAGAGGCGAGAGACTTAGTGAGAACCAGACTGTCTTCAGCTTAAAGTTGTTGGGACTTGAATGATTCTCGATTGATAAAGTGCACTTAGATTTCTCAATCACAGAAGAGGTAGCAACTATAAGTGCTGTTATTCAAGATTCTATTGGAAGGTGTGCTACGAAATGGAGGATTCGCAATCCCACCCGGTGTGACCAGGACCATTAACTAGATCGTCTTCGACTGAGAACAATCAGAACGACCGCAGAACTCGCCTGAGAGAAAGATCTTCCTCTTTAGTTGTGTGATGCTTGTGAAATAGAGTAATTGTGCGACCTAGGTATCAACGTCCCACGCTGAAGGTATTTGGTGTCAAGACCCCATTAGGATCGGCAAGTCGCCTTGCCTTGCGAAGCCTCTCGTACTTATCTCTGTCCTCGTAATAGTGACTCCAGCTCGCATCTAGGTCCAAGCTGCCATACGAGCCCCACAGCACACGTTTGTCCTGCTTGCTGAATTTGCCATTTGGTCCTATTCCCTCCGTGTCGTTAATCCTGTGCCACTCTTCAGCGGTCTTCTTGGCCTTGTCACCCTCATAGAAGCAGTCAAGGGTGCAGCAAACGCTGGAGTCTCTCCAACTGAAAGCAGTCCCATTGTCCCTATTGGTGAAGAACTTGGAGTTTCTGCCGCCGAAGCACTGTAGCTGTGCGGACAGCCAGCATTCATTGTCATCCGGCTTCACGATCGCGTCGATGCGCCCCGCCACCCACTTAGCCCATCCATCGGCACCAAGTGTCCTTGAGTTGGTCACGTGAGTGCGCTTGATGTATGGATGGTCGAACTCTCGCACGTTCCGGAAGATCCAGTCACCGGTGAGCTCGGACATGCTCTTTTCTCTTGACTTGAGGTGGAACAGTGAATCCTTTCTTATCCGATCAAACCACCTCATGTCAGGAACATCGGTCTTGCTGAATGGCACCCATTGTGCATACACGACGATCATACGCGGCCAGAAGGGAATGTCGTCATCGCCGTAAAGCTCAGGATGCTCTTCTCTCATCTTTCCATCTATCTCCGGAAATACGTCCAGGAGCTTGCATGATGAGCTAAGCACGCTGACACAGTAGTCGTAATTGCGAGGGAAGTTTTCGTTGTCTGACATCTCTACCAGGATGTCGAGCAGATTCTCCAACGTCTTACGATTGTACCAATATATCGACTTCACGCCTCGAGAGCCTTGGTAGTCCCGATCACGGTGGACGGTGATTGTGAAATGTGTGATCACACACAGATTTCCAGGGCTACCACCGAGAATGGCATAGAACAAGTCTGGATCACTCTTTTTCGTTACTTCTCTGAAGTTGCCGGCGTGGTCGACTACCTCAAGCGATACGACGTGGTCGCCAAAGAGGCCGAAGCTGCGACCCAGTTGCCCATACCCGCCCGTCTGGACGTGGCCTCCAAGGTGTACGTGGACGCACTGTCCGTGTGGCACGAACACCTCGTGTTTCTTTAGGTACGCATTGAAAGATCCCAGACTCCAGCTGACGCTCGTACGGACAAATGCTTGCCCATCCTTTTCAAAGAAGCGGCGGTCCTCGTCCGCTCGGAAAGTCTTGTTCAAATCCAGCTGAATGTTTGCACCATGCGTAGAGGATGCTCCACTGTACTGATGTCCTCCGGTCCTGATGGCCACTGCAATTTTCTTCGAATTGGCGTACTTCAGTGCTAATGCGATGTCGTTCTTATTGTGAGGATAGATGATCAGCTGTGGATCCATGCGCCTTTCTTTTTCGTAACTGGACGTCGCATATTGGTACTTGCGATCCTCATACTCCTCTGTACCTCTTATATACTGGTTGCCTGTTACCCCGGTAATGGTGGCCATGATGTCGATCTTACTGCACTGTCAAAATGAAATGCCGAACACTGTATCAATATATATACCTATCCGTATGATCTTGTCTAAGATCGGATCGCTGTCCAGTGGCGGGCTGAGATTTCATCTTTGCCATGAACCTTACCTTTCTGATCGTAGGCGGTCGAACCTGAGTCAACGTGCAGCTAGCCATGTGAAAACGGTGGCAATGAAGCACAAAATAGATGAATGACCACAGACTCGCTCCTGAGGTGGCTAATACAAGGTGACATTGGAGCTGAGTCAATACGGGTTAAGCAGGAGCATCGAATCCAATCCGATCAGACAAGAATCTTGCTCCTCCTTCCGTCCCGTACCACATTGGGGGCCTTGCTCTCATCGGCTCCGTTGTTGATCCTTAACAACATGTGGGACCAAAAATGACCGTGGCCTTCGGAGCGACCGTACGTACTCGAGTAAGAAACTGGCTTATGTCTGACACTGACACCACACCTTAGATCCATCCGAACCATGTGAAAAGTACCTGTCAAAAGCTGCGAGCCAGTGAAAAACCGAAGTAATGAGTAGAGGATGCGCCGGGTTAAGCGGCTGAAGACCTGTAGTGGTAGATGTTTCGATGTCAGCACGAGATACTACGGTACCTGGCTGAGGTATTCTTAGCACGGCGCTAGTATTTATCCCTCAAAACAGCTGCTGTACTCCGTACATGGCCGTTAGGCCCACAAAGATATAGCTGTACTGTATCAAATGAATTGTGTGGCTGTTGATAGGAGAAGCTTCAGGAAAGTGCGGTAGCGACGTATCTGATACTAGCAGCTCTTAGCACCGTGCTGGGGATACATACTAAGGTACTTACGTACTACTATGGTAGGAGGCATATTAAATGTAACCCCCGCTCTAGTAACAGCTTGTAACGCCAAGATAGAACGCCACAAAATCGCTCGATTAGGACTGATCCACCATGCATCCCATTGGCATCCATAACTCCCTGGCATCTTGCTGGCATTGATTGATTTGTTGTAGTTGTAGAATAAGATAGAATCGATTGAGAAAGTTTAACGCGTCGAACGCGGTAAATGACCCCCTAGGGTGGTACGTTATTTGTACAAGCGCGGTAAGGGCACCTGTATGAAGGTTGTTAATAACAATTTTACTAGTGGAGAGGGTTACATTTAATATGCCTCCTACCGTAGTACGTATGTCTCCTACCGTAGTGATCAACCAGTTACACCAAGAGGGAAAATTCCGAACTTAGTAACTACTGGGCTACTACCTCATATCTAGAATCACAAACGCACATGGGAGCTGAAGAACGCCACCAAGCCACGGCTGCAACCGTGCAAGAAGAGCGGACTATGCCATTCTTCAATCAGTTGATCATTGCAGCCCACTCCATGCTTCAAGGGTCAGCCAGACATCAAAATTGGAAATGTTTTCCTTACCGACTCGATCTGACTACACCCATTCCTATGCCTTCTACCAGGCAGCCACGAACTTCAGTCAAGTCTAATTCCATTGTCTACGTAAGCTAGGTCAAGGCATCTACACAGTCCTTCAATCGGTCTTCCAGCTCTCCGTATCGCTTGCCCTTCTCCACCATTGTCCCATTGGTAGGGTCATCGGTAATCTCCGTTTTCCAGCCTCCTACACCTCTTACATAGTACTTCATCCTTTTGCCATCCTCCGATGTAACACCAGCGCAGCTTGTTCGCACTTTACGCAGCCTTTCCCCTGCATTTGCCCGCATTCATCATGCCACCTAGCGTTAGCCATGGTCCCGGTGCTATTCGGTAGCGGAGTATCAGATAGACATCAAATACGAGAGTCAAAAAAAGGACCGAGAGCCCGGCTCCTGTCGCCCACTGCCAGAAAAGTCTGGGCCCAGAGCCGTACACGTACCAGCCAATATGGAGTCAGTGGGGGGTACATCAATTAAGTGTGGTTCGAAACCCACAAGCGCTGTCCTTTTGGTGGAGTAGTTGATGTGTCCCTTTTCTTGTGGTAGGATGTGGTTTTCTCTACGGCCAAGGCCGTCATGTTCCAATTCGCGCTAGTGATCAGAGACTGCATGACTAATGCAACAGCAGACGTAAGACTATCGATCTCGGTTTCGAACCCCAACCTTTAACTTCATAGGTTCCAGGCCGCGAAAACGAGGTGCTCTGCGAATGAGCTTCCTGGCAGCAGGCCATCAAGACATGGAAGCATCAATGAGAACCGCTCGGCTAAGCGCCGAAGATTTAGAACTTCGGTTGCAGAGGGTAGATACGTGGGAAATGTATCAGCCGTGGGGTTTAGACTATTATAATTCACGCCGTCTAGGCCGGGATACGCCAGCCAGAAATCAAGTGGAAAGAGTACTTGTTGCAACCTTAGAGCGCAATATGCGCCGGTGGAATTCTACTTTGCATCCGAGGCGATCTGGAAGTCCAAGTATGCGTTTGAGCTCGAAGGCTCAGAAACCTGTACGAGAGTTGTACCAGCGCTGAGATTTGCTACTGGACCTGGATTACACCAGGTCGTTAGCATTCGAACAATGAGATGGAGGTTCCCATCATTGCCGCGGAAACCCTCGCATGTATGGGACCAGTCTCCTTCGTATGGTTGTATGTGTCAATGATAGCAAACCCTTGAATCGAAATTGATTGAACCATTGAAGCGGATGTATTCGTGTAAACAGCTGTAGCATATGCAAATTTCCATTCGCATACGACCTGCCTGGCGGCTTAGAGTAGGTGTTGTCGAGTAGGTTGAGCATAACATACCTGGACGCCGAGGCCAGTGCAAGCGTAGACCCAAGGGAACCGCTTCTGACCTTTTTTAGTCCTGTGTACTGGTAGTCCACCCGATCGATAGACGTCAAATTCATTCGAGGCATCGTCAACGTCATCAAAGCATCATTCAATTTGAATTTGGGCCATAAGTCTGGAAACCGCCAAGCTTTAGGAAGTCCGACAGTGTTCATTGCAGCGGCTTGAAGCAGAAAACAGATGGAGACCACCAGGGTAACGCAGAACCGAGGATAGCTAGCACGATTGAGGCATGGCCTGCCGAACAGATGGCACCTTTCGATGAAGCTTGCAATTGCGATCCACGGCTTCAACAATTGTTCCTTCGTTTCGAAATCAATAGGATACACACTCCAGTTGGGCCGTTGTCCGATGACTTTCGTGCCATGCGCAGGGTGATGACCAACAAAGCTATGTGCTCGATGACGTTGTGACCTGGTAATCCAAGACCTTATTGATGACACCAAGAACTGCTAATTGAGTGTCTGGCCGGACTTGCGAGCCCCATATTGTGCCCGCTCTCAATGTCCAGAGCTGCCTTTTGCATCCAAGAATGATAGCGCTGTTCAAACTGTTAGTGATCCACAGCCTCAAGAAGCTGGAGGCAGACCGACGCGGTGAGGATGGTAATAGTAACGCATCTTAACACCGAAGGAGCTAAGAAATCTCTTCTTTTTGCCTGCAGTTGATATATTACCTTCTTGTTTAGTGGATTAGTCTTGCTCAATGATGAAATTTGAGAAGACATCTTTCCAGATGCTCTGAAGGATGTCGAGGGTGAAGAATATAAATGAGTTCATGTTTCTCACTCTTCAATCCGTCCATCATGAAGCATACGTACCCTTCATGCCGCTACCGATACTTGCTTTCAAGGTCTCAGCCTGACCCGTTCGTCCTCTTGGGGATTGAAGGATTGAGGAGTGCGTCTGTTTCGATCAGTAGCATCTGTACCAGCGAGTGTCGTGGGCGGCACGTATCGCCAACTTGCATACAATGCATGCTTCACAAGATGTACCAGGATTTTCTCCAATCGAAACTCGGTCCTTTATTGATCTGAATCTGCATGCTTTAACATGTGCTCATTGCTGCCTCCTCTGCTGCACAAACATTTCTAAAACCCGGCTCTTCCTCGCCCGAAGCAAGGTGAACAGATTGAGATAAGGGTTGACAGCGATAGGTAGAGAAAGGGCCTGAGGTGGGCAAAGCATGTTGACCATTTTCCATAACAGGACCCATAACAGGACAAAGAAGCGTGCAGAGACAACACCACGGGTGATTGACGACCTTTGAGGAATCGTAGCCGGTGAGAATTCAGGTTGGTCTCGCTTCTCTCGCAAGGATTCACATCCAACTTCATTGTGCATGTGTTAGACTAATTGCCAGAATGCAGGCGTTCTCAATGCGGTCTTGGTGAGATATCTTGGTACCAGTAACTTTGGCAAACATCAAAAAGCAATCATCGCATAAGCTACTATCCAGTTTACAAGAACAAGGCTCAATTTGGGCATTGATAAGGTGAAACATTGAAAATGTGTAGCGAAGTAGGGTCAGCAATGGATTGGCTACTCTGAAGCACGCGATCAATGCTCTTTCATCATGGTCTATCCTTTCCACAAACAATGCACAAGTCAGGACGAGTTAGCAATGACTGCTCAGACAAGTCCCGTCCCATGGGCGGCCTAACTTAACTTGATTTCAACTCGAGATCAGGTGGGGGAGCAATGCGTATGCAAGCATAACGGAATGGCGTTCCGCGCTCGCTGACTCAGGAATGACAGTACATGAACTGCCTTCTAGAATACGAACGTCCATTGATAATCACTTACTACGCATGTAATCACATAAGTACACTCATTTCCAACGTTTTATGTGTTCTCTCGTTCATCATTCAAAAGTCTGTTCTTGAATGCAACCACTAAACGCCAAGCCCGCCGCCCTATTACTCCTTAATACTGGGCTTCTTGGGATCGTGATAGCCGTTCTACTACTCCACTCCCCTTGCCCTATGATCGACTTGGCTTCCTTCATATCCAGAGCACAGGGCATTAAAACCTCTTTACTCGGAGCCACAGAACTCTCTAGACATTTTCTGCGCTCAGCCCAAACCAAACTCTCTCCTCAAGGCCATATCCCACCTCATACCACAATGACGGCTCAGAAAACACCCATCTACTTCCTCTCCCACGGCGGCCCGCAGACTTGCCACACCCCCACCCACCCCGTCTACCCACAATTGCAATCCATCGGCCGCGAAATCTCCAACACCAGTGCGAAACCAGTCGCCATCGTCGTCTTCTCCGCGCACTGGCAATCCTCCTCCGGACCAAATACCATCGAGGTGAACACATCCGATCAGCCGTTACCGCTCATCTACGATTTCTACGGATTTCCAGACCACTATTACAAGACCAAGTTTCCGTACCGGGCATCGGGCAAGGTCAGTCAGCGGGTGATGAACGTATTAAACGAAGGTGGAGTGAAGGCGGTGGGGGTCGAAAGGGGACTGGATCATGGAGTGTGGGTGCCGTTTAAGGTTGTCTTTGAGGGGCTTGAGAAGGAGATGCCCCCAATTGTGCAAGTAAGTCTTTTTGGGGCGGAGGATGCGGAGGAGCATCTTCGGCTGGGAAGGGTGGTGGCAAGGTTGAGGGAGGAGAATATTTTGATCGTGGTAAGTGGAATGGCTGTCCATAACCTGAGGGATATGTGGGTCACGATCAAAGATCCGAAGCCATTGTCCTATACGGCTAGTTTTGATGAGGCGTTGAGGGAGGCGGTAGAGAGCGAACCGGGGAGCGATAGGGATGCGAAAATGAAGGAACTGGTGAAGAGGACTGATGTCAAGAGAGCCCATCCGACGTTGGAGCACCTGTTGCCAATTCATGTTGGGGTTGGGGCGGCGGGCAGCGATAGAGGGAAGAGGTTATGGACGATGGGAGAGGGCAGTCTGAGCTGGGCGCAATTCAGGTTCGGAGAGGTGCGTTCAGGATAATGAATTAGCTCGATATCTTTCAATATATACACAGCGCAGTGTAGGACACGAGGTAGAGATATCATGAGAGCTCCGTTTTGACCAGACTAGTGACCCTATCCTCGATTTCCTTGTCCGATAGTCCTGCGGGAAAACTGTCAGCTTTTTACGGCCCACACCATCTGAAGCGTGCCCTACCTGATAACGATTCTGACCTCTCCTTACCACGTCCTATAGCAGATCAGTTATGCAGAGAAGCAAGCCCAAGCTACCCACCATATCTCGTCCATATCTTTGGCTCGGTATCCGTTGCTTCTCTTATCAGGATCGGAATATGCGGATTGTGCTTCTTCATAGTAGGATATGCTCGCTTCAGGAACGATCTGATCAATTGTGTATCATGTCAGCATGGTGCTTGAGGAGTAGAGAAGCTCTTGTGGATGATGAGGGCAATACCTTGCCGCGTCGCTTGCTGGCGAGGAATGACAGAGGTGGAATCGGACCTCTCTCAGGCCCGAGGTGAAGGCATATTTGGCAGCCATGATTGTAGTGAGGAGACTTCGTCCTGGCACCAGCTGCCTGCGACTGCAACCAAATCAACTTGAAGCTCCATCCATTTCTTGGCAATGTCGGAAACAGTCATCTCGCTAGCGGCCTCTCGGACTGCGGAGTTATCGTCTATCCCAATTATCCCACTCTCTCCCCAACAGAGTAGGAGAAGTTTCAACTATAGACCTCAGCAAAACTCTTCTCTTCTCCTCTCCTAATCCTTAGATCCTCATCATCCCTCTACAGTCCGCCATGCCCTCCTCTTCCCCCCTCCGCCTCCTCTTCACCCGAACTCACCAATTCACCACCTTTCGTGCCCCATTCCTCCTCCGCCAGCAGCGCAACCAGATCTTCCGGCGGTATCAGCAAACCGTCGCGGGAACTCCAACCGTCGAGGGCGCTCCAGGCGCAAAGCAGAGTATCTTACAGCGATTATGGACGAGTGAAGTCGGGCTTAAGACGGTGCACTTTTGGTTAGCAGGGACACCTTATCCCCTCTCATACCCTTTTCCAAATCTGCCAGCCATTCCTTGGGGGTCGAACAATGTTTGGGGTTTGAATGTATGCTGATATCCAATGGTGGGTGAAACAGGGCACCGGTAATGAAATGGGCCATCCTCCTCGCGGGCGTCAGCGACTTCTTCCGTCCCGCAGACAAGCTCTCCCTGACGCAGAATCTGGCGTTGACAGCTACGGGGAGTATTTGGACGAGGTGGTGCTTCATCATCAAACCCAAGAACTATCTGTACGATTACTCTCACCTTCCTATCTTTCCGAATTTTATCTCTTTCCTACTTCCGGACTCGATACTACCGCTCGACGAATTTAGACATTAGGCTGACCTATTATTTCCTGTTTCGTGAGACAGATTAGCAGCAGTGAATTTCTGCGTCGCGATCGTGGCGTCTGTCCAAGTGAGTCGGATTCTGGCATACAGGGCGAGTGTGAAAGGGTCGAAAGCGGGGGCGCTGGAGGAGAGCAAGGAGGAGATAAGAAGCGCAGCGAAAGGGGTGAAAGAGGATGTAAAGAAGGTGGTTCCATAGAACAATTCGGGTATAGGGAGTTGGAGCATCATTGATAGCTACGGGGAACACAATCGAGGCCAGGATTCAGTGACCCAAGGATGGACAGACTATACTTGTAGAGATCGAAGATACCGCTGGTCCACTCTCGAAACTAGGGTGCAGAGGGCACTACACGAAGTCTTACATGAACACTTGGAAACCGAGCATCCACAGTGGAACAGTCAAACAGAAAATAGTGGACAATTGCTCCGATTCGAGCTTGCGGCTAGAACGTTGCCCGTCTCCCTCTTCCCATAAGTCTCCAGTACCAGCCGAAATTAATATGCCAAAGTGCGCAACACATATTTCCTCCGTAACACAACAACCCATTTTTCAAAAGGCATCGAGCATAACCTATCGCTTTGGCCCGCACACAAACAGCGCAGCCCAGAACCGTGACATACTCCGAATCCATTATTCTCACCATCAAAAGTTGTTGACTGAATTCAAACCTCCAACCGCATTGCGCCGTTTGCATCCATGCGTTTTGTTCCCTTTCCAACAAAGCCATTCAATGCAATATCAACCGTCTCCATATAGCCGCAATTTGGAAAGGAATAAATAATCATTTCTTCTCCGGAGCACCCTTCTGTGCCTTGTTTTTGTTGTCTCCGGTGTCCTCGTAGTCTCCACCCCTGGCCTCATAGCGGCGGGCCATCTCGCCGGCTTTCCATGCTGACCAGGAGCCTGCGCCTCCGCCTGATGTGCCAAATATGTTAGGGCTATTCATTCATTCGAGACTGGTTTTGTAGAGGTAATGCATTGTGTGTGTGTAATCCATTGTGTATGGGGCACAGGGTCCAGGTCGGAGCTGAGGCTTGTTTTCCTGGGAAAGGAGTGAAAGGAAAGGGAAAACAGCATGATAGCAGTAAGAACTTCATAGTGGATATGCTAGGCTTCATAGAATGATATCTTGGAAATCAGAAAGATATGTAAAGTAGAGCTCACCTTTCTCCTCGGCCTTGACTTCCTCCTTGACCTCCTCCCTTAGCTCAGGATCTGTTGGGGTGCCTTTACTGGATGGCATCTTCCTGTTCACTTTCTGCGTGTTGAGCGACAAAGCTCCACCCGCACTCTTCCTCTGGCGCTGTCCTTTCTCCGATCTCTCTGTCTGTGACCCAGCAGCAGCAGAATAATGTCTATTCAAGATATCCGAGAGATGATCCCTGGCCGTACGAATGCCAGTGGACGAAGAATTTCGATGAAACGAAGGGAAGCGTTGCATTAGATTAAATAGTGACGAAAGAGTGAGCAGGGAAATATGAGCTATGAAAAAGGTGGAGAGTGTGACAGGTACAAGGCTGGACTAGAACCTCATGGACTGGTCATAGATGTTCCTTTGCGCACGATCTGCAGGTACAGGGTACGAGGAAGACAAGAAGACTTAAGGGGGAAATGATGATCTGAAGTGTGAAATATGGTAAGATCTGGCTATGCTTGCTGGACGATGCACGAGTACCTGCATACAGCCGAATCCGGGGATCTCATCTTTATCTACTTTCATGATGTAATTATCCCCTAACGTCGTGACCAGTCCCGACGGCGCCTGACTTTGTACTCCAGGAAACGGTCCCGCATTGGGTAATGATGAAATGTTGAAACTTGGCCTTCACCAAAATGCCGTGTGGGATGATGCTGCAGTTGTTAGGCATGCAACAGGTGATGTCGAGATCTCGATCTCACTGGTCGTGAACAGGCAGGACGCTAAGATCTTGTGGCACTGCAGGTCGACGCATAAGCGTTAATGCTCATTGCGTCAATTTTAAATGGAGAGAGGGAGGGGGGTGATCATCCGTCACAAGGCTGTGAAATTCAGCGAGCATGTCTAACGTCTTGAGAATGATACATTGTTCAAGGGTGAAGGCACAATTGTGGTGATGCTCTGAATTGTTGGAGGATTGTATTCTTGATGATCAAACTGGGGGAACTCGACTTCAGCTAAGGGTCTATCCCCTGCCCGCGGATGGCTTCTTATTACTGTGGAGATCACAAAGTGTTTTAGTCTAGATTCTCTAGAGAACGAATCTAAGGGTTTAATGCTCTAAAGGGCTCTATCTTAGGAAGAAAAAAACACCTTTGCTACACACAGATTCCAGTGGATTGTAACCAGCCTGAAATAATGTCTATTTCTAGAGTGTGTTCATATCGCCAATACAGATTGAAGTGCTGAGGCGCAATGAAGGAGCCATGGAGTTCGCCGGCAGGTTGAATAGTTAAAAGCAGGCTAGAGAATGACTACAGCAGTACGGAGGAGCCTCCAGCTGACCTTAACTTGTGGATGCAGGCAATGTGCCTTTGAAGGCATTCTTTACCATATACTTAGTTTTGTTCAGGACTCCGTACGATATTGGGTGCCTAACTTAGTACATACCACATCTACTTCACGAGGCAAGTTCATTTGGTGACCAGCTGCGACTTGAGAAATTCAGTCAAGCCGGGGACTGGGCGCTTCGAGTTGAGCGACTGACAATGCTTCTCGTGCACAAGTAGACGTATCCTATTGTATGACGATACTACATACAGCCTGCTTCGTGCTGCAGTACGTGATCCATCATTAACCCAGTGATCGAGCTAATAGATTCCTTGAAGCATAGAGAAACGTATTGTACATACTTCGTCAGTTTATCCCCATAAGGATCCAGGCTTGAAAGTAGGCGGAAATGATATGCTTGATCCCCTGGCAGATGAGCGCTAACTTAGGCTCAGCAACCGAGGAGCAGAATAACCACCAATCCATTCGATCCTATCCAAGGACAGATCACATAACTGTGCATTCACCTTCGTTCTGCCTGTTGAACGCCGACCGTGAAACTCTTGTCTTACTCATCTTCGCGCCGCCTCTCTTCAAATCTTCTAGGCGCTGTCGAGCTTTAGGAAAGTTTTGTGCTAGAGCATTGATCAGTCAGAACAGCTGCAATGGACCGGAGAACACTTACAAGCAGCCCTCCAGTACCACTTTTTAGCCTCGTCCAGGTTAGCAGTACAGCCTATGCCAACCTCGGTGAAATAACCCATCGCATATTCCGCCTTCGCTAATCTCGAATTCGCTGCCTTTCTTGCCCAAAGGTAGGCCTCGGTATCGCTTTGCTGTAGGATGCCTTCAGAGCCAGTGAGATACCACCCACTCAACGCCAGTTCAGATTGGTGCTCTCCCTGTGCCGCAGCTCTCGTATACCACCCAATACTCTGCCGAGGGTCGATCTGACATCCTAACATACCATATTCGTAGGCCGAGCCAAGTCGAAATTGTGAAAACTTGTATCCTAATTCCGCAGCTTGCGTGAACAGCTGTCGGGCATAATTCTCATCCTTGACAATCGAATCGCTTGGCGAGGCATTCTCATACAACAGCCCCAGTTCATGCAGTGCATGCGGATTCTCCTTGTCCGCCTGCTTCGCTGCGCGCTCGAGCCAAGAAACTGCTTCTCTCGGATTCCTCGGCTGTCCGAGCAAGCCCTTCAAGAGAATAATGCCAAATTTGTACGTCGCAGGCGTGTCCCCCATCGATGCCGCCCGTTTGTACCAGTGCATCGCTTTGATCGGGTCTCTTCGCGTCCCTCCGCCCTCTTCATTGCCCATCTCGCAGCAGACAGCAACTCTATAAGCTGCCTGAGCATGACCCGCTTTTGCGGCAGACGTATAGAGACGAAAGGCTTCTTTGGGGTCCACCTGCAGTCCTAGCGACCCTTGCCCGTAGCATTCCGCAAGATAAAACATAGCATCCGGGTATCCCTGGTGCACTAATTTTTTCAGGTATTTATGAGCGTCAAAGATATATCTCTCTTTATTCTTTTGCGCCGTCTTGGCGTCTGCTTTCCCTCCCTCGTTTGATATTGTGGAGGCGGCTTCGACTAACTTTTTAGCCAGAGTCAGGGCTGCCTTGTGGTCATTTGGGTTGTTCTTGATGGTTTGTAGCAGGAGGTTCAAATCATATGCAGTCACTGCTGGTGGCTTTTCTTCTTGCAATGTTGTCGCCATCGTATCTGAATTCTTTGGTGGTGGCAGATAGGGGTTGGGATGCCCTTGGATTGTAGCAGGCGAAGCAACTGAAGCTTCCTGCAATAAGCCTGGGCGGACGGGTACGGGATGAGCAGGCAGCGCATCAGGGTTAGTTGAAGCCGAGTTTTTTCTTGTGTCGTACTGCCTCGATGGAGGCGGATGAGCAGAATTCGGAGACTGACTTCTTTGCTGTTGCAACGCGTTGAAGGGGTCCTGGCGGGTGTCTATCTGCGCTGGGTACTGCCTTTGTTCTCGATAGAACTGTTGTGTATCTTGTGAAGGTCGCTGATTGAATCTGCCTGGTACTTCGCCTGGATAGCCTCGTTGAGGACTAGAACCACCTTTGTACTCTTCCATGCCATAATCGTAAGCTGGATCACGATTGGCGGAACGACTTTGACTTCTGGATGGGTACTGCTGCGTATCACTAGTGCTACGATATTGAGCTTGTTGTGTGATAGCACCACCGTACCTTTCTGCGTTGCTTACTGATTGGGTTTGCTCGTAGCCTTGTTTGTTAGGATGCTGATCATCTATAAGTCGGCTTTGGGGTGCAGAATAGGGCCCGGCCATCGGACTAGGTGCCTTGTAAGATTGCGATGACGCTTGCTTGTAGCTAGCCTGGAATTGTTGCTGGTTCGTGTATTGAGTGTTGCGACTATCCGTTGGCAGGTCAAAGGTAAACCCCGCAAAGCTTGGTCGATCTCCTTGATCAAGTTGAAAGTCAGGTTGAGACTGACTTCTGGGCAATCCCGCACCACTGACTGGAGCTTGATATGTGGCCTTTTGATAGGCTGGCTTTGTATTTTCGGTCTGCACATGCAAAGGATCCTCGGTTCTCTCGTTTGCAGATGGTGAGATAGCGTCGAAGTTTGGCATCTCAGGAGAGGTCAAGGCATTCCGGGCAGAACTCATTGAATTCTCTCTAGGCTGTTGAGTGATAGCTGGACCTGGGACTGGACTGATTGGAGCTGGCACGTAATTGTACGGTTCCGGTGGGCCACTTTTGTTGCCCGAGAGCTTCCTACTATTTTGGGAAAGTGGATTCCTCTGCAATTTCCTTCCGGTCATTCCTCCAGCGGCATTATCTGGCAAAGTCATGCTTCGTTGTGATTGTTGCAATCTAGGAGCAGGCTCTCCTTGAAAGCTTGCAATTGATCGATCCGACCCCAGAGGGTTGAGAGGGGGTCTGACTGGCCTCTGGCCTTCACTGAAGTTTCTCTGGTTCGATGTTGCAATATTTCGTAGCTCTGCAGATCGATCGATAGGAGACATCGCATGAGGTGAAGAGAAACCAGGACTGTTAAGCTGTGGTTCTGGTCTTCGATGACCTTGGGAAGTATGAGGTCTAGGGTTATCACCCTTTCTGTGACTTTGTGAAGTTTGGGGCCGGGTGTCAAGTTGATCTGTCATCTTCATCTTTGACATATCCTTGTCCAAGCTGGAGTGCTTCTTCTTGTCATCCTTCTTCTTGGGGTTGAAGACAGGAAACGGGTTGTCCCACGCAACAACTACTGGAGAAACCGTTGCTGGCAGGATTCGTTCTCGAGCTATTACGTGACTGTCAGCAGCATTTCGAAGCAGACAAATATCCACTTACACTTAGATTTAGCTTTCAGATCCATCTGCGGCGGTCGTTGTTTCTCTTTGCCTTGCCGTTCTCTTGTATCCTGCCGCCGTTCCGTTTGACCATTTAAAGGTTGACCTTGACTTCTGTAACGAGGATCATATTGGTATTGTTGGTGCGACTGCGGCTGATCGTAGGGCTGGCCATATGTTTGACTATAGCCTTGCTGTGGTTGAAGATATGCATCCTCTCCGTGTTGATTGCGACGGGCGTATTGTTCATATTGGTCGCCTGCTGGTTGAGAATAGTCCCAGTCTCCATAGCTCTGTCCTTCTTGCTGATAGCCAGCCTCGTAGTACTGTCCACTATCATTTGACCAATCGTTCAGTTGTGGTTGTCCTTGATATTGGCCTCGAGATGGTTGCGGCGGCATGCGTTGATTGTACTCGTTATGAGTCATAATGTCGCATGAAAAACCCGCAGTAGCAAAGGGCAGCTCTTGGTTGTTATATCAAGTAACTCATGGTGAAAATAGATGTGAAGGTCGGACAGCGGAAGGTAGAGTAAAGCCGCGACGAGGATACCGGCTCAGCTTGTATCTTGTCATTTGTGGTCTGCGCGACTTACACAGCTCACAGCTTACAAGTGGTAAGAAAGAGACACCCTTCGAGTTGTGAAGGCTGGACAACACACCAGGTCTGAAGCAGGATTGCAATTTCCCTGCGTCAGACATGCAGGGGCGTACCGCCTTCAATGTCCAAGATTTTACGTGAAGTTCGTCTGCACCAACTTCTTGTGACTCGATGCTTGCCTTCCAAATCTACAACAGTCAATGAAGAGTTCAGACCTCGACTTGAAGCGGCGGCTGTACATTTCCATTTGCATTATTCGCGCAGGCCGAAACTTCAACGGTGCCCTACTAAGCCTCGCCAATTGCCTCCCAGGCCCGGGGTGGTCAAGACTGAAAGCCAAGGAATAGTAGCCGCATGCAGCCCCGCTAATATCTTCCACTAACTTCGTTACTTCAAATTGTTAACCTGAAGGCCTACTATCTTGTCATGGCAGATGGTGAAGACCGTCAAATATGGTCACGTTTTCTACCTGGGATGGTATTGCATTGTTCATGGTCTTCCTACCTTCGTATATCATCAATGTGAAGGCATTGTCATTAATATATCCATCACTTCAACAGAGAATCTTAATTCGACATAACACCGACCCCCCAGCACAGTCGATTGTGGTCTGAAACAGCTTTCAGAGAACAACGCTGCCTTGTTAAATCTATTCAAAAAGCATTGTTATCTTTACGTCTGCAATCTATTAGCTCTAGGTACAGAGATACAAACAACGTCACAGCAGTCTCTTGAGATCCTTCTGTCTACGGTAAACTGTACTATTACGAGATCCAAACAGCTCTAGTATAATAACCATCCTTCGCTTAGCAAGATGCCCAAACAACAAGGCAGAGAGAGACGACAGATTGCCTATTTCGCTTCCCATGTTCCAAGTCATGCAGTTTCATTGAGTATCAGGTACGAAGCCTGCCGAGAAGATTCCGCTTCCTTGCAAGCAGTAGCAGGGCATGAAAGTCGATATCTTCTCCGCATCACGGTACTGCGGTCAAAATGATACATGCCCCTCATTGGTTAGAGCGGAACGCAGCCGAAGACCTTGTGCTTCTGGGTTCTGCTATCTACGAGCGCTGGCGCCAAATACATCTTCACTATGACTTTTCTGTTTGCGCACTTCAAGTTGCTTACCATATCTGGATAGAAGCCTCGATTGTCTAGTGTAGCTAGTACATTTTCTTGCCTTGAAAGCTCTCAGATACAGTAGACATGTTTGTCTTCGGACACTTACCCGTCCACGACTTTCTTTTCAGACCTCCACGGTGATAGCAATCTCAATATCCCCAAACCCCTTAGCCTGCCTAACATTCACCAGGTTCTTTGAGGCGAGGGTAAGGACATGTAGGAAAGCTTGCGCTGCCACCACTCTCGTGTGCTCCGTTGGCGGAAGCAGGCCCTCGAACGTCGCTGACCGTCTCAGCTTTTCACCCTCCTCGTCTTGCTCTTTTTCTGCGGTAGGTTCTCTCGCTTGAATCTGCGCATCGAGAAAATCAAGAAAATTTCGAGACTCGGAATCCAGGGCAGCCGCAACCCACTGGCTCTGTGCTGCGGTCTGTGTATCGACCGCTGCCGCTGGACCATAGAGCTGGAAGTCCTCATTCTCATCCCCTGACGGCAACAGTTCACCGCCAAGCATTTCATTATCATCCCCTACGAGGGCACTGCTCGTTACGAGTCGCTCTCGGTCTGGTGTACTAATGATGCTGAGGCGTTGAGAGAGTGGGACGGGAAGACCATGGCCTTGTAGCGGACTAGCTGTGGTGAGTCGTGATACGCGCCTGGAGAGGGCTGATGGTGGACCGAGCTCAAAACCTCGACCGGGGGCTCCGACGCTAGAGGTCATTCCTCCTGCAGCACTTCCGAATGGGTGAATGGAGCCCTGTCGTGAAGCGGAGAATGAATCCCATGGCATTTGTAAGGAACGTCTTTCGGGGAGCTCTTCTTGAGCAGCTCGTCCTACCTCAACATCCTGACAGATCTGTCAGCACTACATGACCGTTGAGGACAATAAAGGTAACTTACCATCTCATCACCGCCAACGAAGATCTCGTCATCATGCCCAGCCAGACTAAGATCCTGATCGCCAAGACCGCGGCCTACTCGCTCTCCCTCTTCTTCCCTAGCACGCACACGTCTCTCTTCTTCTTCTTCTGCCGAATTTGTGGTTGATGGGCTCCTGGCATGCTTTGTACCCGCTGTCGACATATCTCTCCCTGTCAGAGCAGCCAGCAAGGTCAATCCACTAAACATCTGCAATGGGCCGGGAGCATGATCCTGACCAAGACCGCACCCAACTCGCCCAATCCCCTGTCCCGTGACCCAGTACTCCGCGTTCTTTTTGGCTTGATGTACCAGCTTATATGGGTGTTTGGCATCAACCACCTGCCGCATGTTATCGAGATAGTTCTCATTCCATTGTCTCAGTTCATCATTGGTCAATCCCGGCCTTTCATCCGAGCCAAGAGTTTTTGGCGCACGAGCACGTTTATGTGGTGCTGATAGCGCTGTCGAAGACAGCTCTTCTTCTACAGGCTGAACAGGTGACGCAGTGGTTGGAGAACGCGTGGTCTCAACCTGGCCTACTAGTTGACGAGGAGAGACCCGCTGTGCTTCGGGAAGTACATGCTCATCTTCACCAAATGCCAATATACCGTCGTCAAAGCCCAGGTTCTGTCCAATGCCTGTGGCAGTAGGCTGCGGTATGGACGGCAGACGAACCTTTTCAGTAGCTAGTCGCCCTTCTGCGTGCTCCTGCCGTACTCTTGCACTGATTGCAGAATCCGTCCCAACGCGACTCACGGGAATATCTCCACCCGACGCGACGACCGCATCGGATTTCGAGGCGTCGGCCGTTTCGATCATATTCCCATGCTCATCAAATTCCCAGCCCACATTAAGAATGCCACTGTCTTCTTCGAGGATAGATGGAATAGTGGCTCTGCTCTCACTCTTTCCTACCGAACTCAAGCCCGCTGTCAAGTCAAGATCAAAGCCGCCTACACGAGCCCCGAGAGATATGTCACCAGAGGGCAACTCGAGAGCAGGCTCTTCGGATCCATGTTCTTCGTCTGCCAAATGGCTGGATCGACTTGAAATCAGGGATGGTGGGGACATAAGGCTCGAGTGGCGAGAAGTTTCCAGTGGCATGTCGAAGCCTGACAGATCGAAGTCCAAATTTAGCTCTGGCATGAAAGCAGGGTCGTCTGGCAGATTGAGTTGGTCGGGTCTGTGCAAGGTGAGCAATCTTCAGTGCAGCGTGGTGACCATGAAAGTAGACTCACTTCGCTCTCCCTACCTCTGGGTCAAGAGATAGTTCCTTGATGACCATCGAAACGCCTCGGACCTTGTCACGAAAGGCTTGTGTGTCGGCAAGGACATAACCACATTGCTGTGAGTAAACTCGTGCCACGCCATATCTAAGTAAAGTGCATGTCAGTCTACGCTCACAGGTGAGGGGATATAAGGCAAAGCGCACAGCAAATTTCCCTGCAGACGCAGGGCCATAGGCGCGTCAGGATTCTGAATCGTGTCGCAGGCTTTATTGACGTCGACATCAAGAATTTTCTTGCGCGTCACAGTCTTTAGGGACGACCTGGAGCCAAGCGTGGCGACTAACCTGCTCCTGTCAGTCCAATGAAGGCGGTATTGGCTGGTAAACTTACCACACAGTGGCAACACCGTGCTCCCGGCTCGTCAGGACTACGACATTAGGGACACGTCTGTCAACAAAGATGCCACAAGAAATTTATAACGACGGAAACTTACTAGCGTGACTGTAGAACATGACGCGAAGAGGGGATAGTAATAGAGGGTGCTATTGATGGACCAGACAAATTTGAGATAGAAAATAACACACTGAGAGAGACACGAGTCGAGATGAATACGTGTTGGCAGAATCGGGATGATAGACCATGATGAGATGTACGAGAGAAGCACAGAGTAAAGGTGCAAGCTAGCACGTAGTTTTCAATGAGCTGGTGGCCTTCTCCACATTTTTGGTCTTTAGATTCTCAGTCCAATCTAGAAAGTCGTCTCGAAGTCGACCTCCGTCTGATCTGATCATGATCTCTGGAGCACTCCCAGCTGACCAGTGCACGCTTGGCAGCATACTTGGCAAAACTGGCGACGTACTTACTACAAGGCAGTAGCCATACTACCATAATAGTATCGCTCAAGACCATGCCAGAGCCCATGGGTCTGTTCCGTCTATCTTTCCAGAGGGATGCCCTCGTATTCCGAATATCCCAGTGCAAGGTTCATGTTTTCTAATGCACATCAGTCAGTAAAAGGACTCGGGTTTACCATTGACATGCACTTACGGAGACACTGTGTGGCAGCCCCTTTTAGCAGATTGTCAATCGTAGCACAGATCACCACTCTCTTTCCGCTTGAATGGACAGCAAAACCGCCAATTTCTATGCCATGGCGTCCAGCAATGTTCTTGACTAGCGGCGGCTCCCCAATGATCCTGACAAGCTTCTCTCCTGCATATCTGTCCTGATACAGCGTTCTAATATCTCTTGAGCTCATCTCGTCCTTCAGTGGAATGCTTATAGTATGGTGTATTCCCTGGAACCATACCGCGACGTGAGGTACAAAAGCAATGTCCTCCTGAAGCTGCGCAGATATTTCCTTCTCGTGGATATGGTCCGTCAGACTATACGGAATGATGTTGTTTGTCAGGTTTTGTACGTCGTTCTTGGGACTGGGTCTGGTCCCGGCACCAGAGTAGCCGGAAACACCAAATACCGTCGGCTGCCCTCCAAGATACGGAATAAGAGGCGCAATTCCAAGCTGAGCCGCCGTCGCATAGCATCCAGGATTTGAGATACGGGTTGCCTTTGCGATTCTTGACCGGTCGATCAGCTCCGGTAGGCCGTATGTCCATTCAGAGTCAAATCGATAGTCAGCACTCAAGTCAATCACGAGGCTGTTCTTGGAGCCGGAGTTGATAGCGTCAACAAATGGTTTGCAAACGCCATTCGGCAGTGCCATTACCCAGCAATCTATCTGACCATCTTCTGCCATGCGTCTCACGTCTTCGGCACTCAAATTCTCGTAGGTTATTTCTTTCTTCTCGTAACCCTTCAGTTTTTGACCTGCTAGTTCTCGTGATGAGACGTGTTGTAAGTCCATGTTTGGATGATGGTTTAGTAAATCAATAAGAGCTTGACCGGTATAGCCCCGGGCGCCGATCAAAGCCACTTTTGCTGGTCGAGAATTGGAATTGTTCTTGTCGCCTAATGGAGGGTTTGGGTTGGTGGTGGTCGCGTAGCTACGACCCGGCGATGTCTGCGCAAGTTGCCTTCGGATTAATCGATATGAGTGCAACGGACTTGCAGCCGACGAGTATGCCCTGGCTTGTTGCACATTCGTGGCGCTAGCCATAACGTTTGATACTGTCCTGAATGCCCGATGCAACCTTGATTCCAGGTTGATGTCTCCGAACATCTTCCTCCCATGCTTCGTGAATTCGAGCATAAGTTCTTTGACGTCATCGCTCTTTTCGATGCCGTACCAAAACAGAACTTCACCGCTTTTGGAAAGGCTGCCATCCGCCTTATCGAAGAACCAGGTCAAATTCTCATCGTCTTCCTTGACAGTCCACATAAGCATAGGATAATCCTTTTTAATACTTGCAAACACATTATCCGCAACGTTCGTTAACCATCCAGCTTTCGTGATTGTGAACGTAGCCAGGTGCGCAATCGACGCGTTTTGCTGAGGCGGCAGGACGATGGCAAGTGCCTCCATGGGCTCATCAAAATACGCTCGGAAATCTCTGTCTTCCAAGCTTTTCAAGTAGCGGTCAACAACGGCTTTCGAGTCGAGACCCTCACGATCTCGCACGAGGACCTCTTTAAGTTTCTCTAGGTCTTCGAATTCAGACAAGGAAGTGTTCACGTGTACCTTGTTTCCTCGTCGGATCAGTGTACCAGCCCCAGTGTCCGTGAACAGTTCTTTCTGAAGGTCAGCTGGATGAATGATAGCCACACTTGAACTTCTTGGCAAATCTGTCAATAGCTCCTTCATTTCTTTAATCTTTAGTCTCGTCCCATGCCGTACCCACCACTGAGTCATCAGATGGTCGTACTCTTCATCAAGGTTGATTGCCGAGATTTTCTCCTTGGTATCGCCATTAAAAAGGCCTCCTTTTTCAGAGAGGTAGACAATCTTGAGAGGTTGGATACTTCGAGCAAGCTCGCCGGCAGCGACATCTGCGTTGACATTGAGCACCTGCCCAGCCGATGTTTCCGCCATGGAAGTCAGAATAGGAAGGCACCCGGCCTGAATCGCCGCCTCAATGGGCCTGTTGTCAACTTTGTTAATCTTTCCCACCAGATTGTACTTCTCCTTGTCTAGATAGTCCGCTGAAAAAACACCTGATGTGATCGGGCGAGCTCGTACGCCCAGCCTTTCAAGCTCCTCCACTAGTTTTAGGTTTTCTTCCAAGAACAACGCTCTGGCCACCCCTAGGGTCTTTGGATCTGTAATCCGAATACCATCCTCAAACTGGGGCTTAACACCAGAGTCCTCTAGCAGCTTGTTCAATTGTGGTCCTGCTCCATGAACGACCACCGGGTAGAGTCCGACATGATTCAGGAACGCGAGTGCCGAAGAAAGGGTCTGTAGATGCTCCGTAATGATTGCGCCTCCGACTTTTATCACAGCAAACTGTTGAGAGGAAACAGAGCTGAAATGTGATAGATATTGCTGGACCTCCCTCTTTGACCCAATATTGCTGAGTAGCTGGACCACCGTAGACCGAGTGGAAAGATGATGCTCAGAAGGAGAGGAATAGTCTCGGTGGGCTAGATACAGAAGACTGGACCGCTGTGAGAGTTTGCATGTTTGACGAAGAGCAGGTGAAGCACAAGACCGCACCAAGCAGCGGACAGCTTGAGATGCTGCCTGTGAAGCTGGTCGAACTGCTATCATACTGCTCACCGACATGCGGCAGCTGCAATTGTATCTGTATGCCTGGCCGATCTGATCTCGCTCTGCCGAGTGTGAGCAGTCATGAAATATAAAATGTATTTGCAGGATTCTCAATTTTCGTATCAGCGGGATGAACTGATATCACAAAGGCTTGCTTGAAATGTTGCAGCATTTATGAACGAAGGAATGACGGAGAATTTTAACTAGAAAACTGTTCTGGTATTCTTATCAGACGCTCCTCCAGCAGGGAACATAGTGGCCGGCCCAACTCCAGATTTTGCTGCTGATTTTTGGGGAAGATCAGTGGGGTAACCCCCACATGCAAGTCTGTTGCTGCAAGAAGAAGATTTTTCTCTAGTGGTGCACAGCTTTTTCATCTTACTCATGCTCGCTATTAAACTACTATTGATCCAGGCTCCATTGGTTTATGCTAACCTTACAACCGTCTCTTGTGGAGTGCAACAGTGTGAACCTGTCTTTATATCTCTCTTACACAGAAAACATACTCCCACACTCGTTTCTGGAATTACTTCCTTTGGCTGTTGTCAAATCTGCCACTCTGTAGGAATGGATAGAACGGCCTTGCAGAGGGTCACCTTGAGCGGAGTATGTTGGATAGCCGAGAGCATGGGGCTTAAGACCGGAGTAGCAAACCATTCAGAAATCGTCTGAGAGTCATGAGACGAAAGAAAGTTCTCTTTTGCAAGTTCAGTGATTGAGGACATAGCGACATACCAAATGAACATTTGCTGGACTAAGTTTAGGTTCACAGGAAAACCTGGCAAGCTTGAGGCCAGTAAACCTGGCAGATTTACCTCCAAGAGCATACCATCCAGCCACATAGTAACGCCTATTACTTCACTGGAGAATCCAGCGCAACGTACCATGATGCTATCCATCATGGCGGTACGTAGACTGCTTGTAACCCTCCGCCCCGTCCACCTCGATATACATTTCTTGTTTTCCAGATGGGCTCCAGCCAACCATGGAGAGTATCTGGTGGGTATTAGGCGTGTTAGGTGTGTCTGGAGGCAACAACTGAAACCTTGTCAAATTCATCCCTAGAGAGTTTGAATGGAAAAGCATACCAGATGGTACAATGATCACAATGAGAAGGATGATGATGCCAACGATGATACAAATTCGCATCTTCATGTCTTTCCACCACATCTGCTTCCTAACCCTGTTTGCACCTTTTCGAAAACTTTGAGATTGATTTTGCAGATGGTCAGTCTTATCTCGGAGAGTATCAAGGTTTTCGCCACGAGTGTTCGCTAATCTGATGTTGTCATTCATCGCCGCCTTTGCAGCATCCATGTCCTGTTGGAAATAGATATCAGTTCCATACAGTAAGAATTTGGTTGGTCAGCCATGATTGGCGTTGTAGTGGATAAGTGACAATATGTCTTGATTGGGGGAGTTGTGTTGAGATCGCAGCCGCCTTTGGTGAGTGTCCTTCGCTTATCGCAAGCGCTGGACCACAGGCTGTGTCCCATGGGAGCATGCAATGAAGTTGCAATAAAAGGTGAAAATAAGAAAGGAGACGGAGACTGACTTTATTTATTCTGTCCATCTTTGCTTGGTGTCGGTCCTCAGCTGATCCACCAGCTGGCCAGGGATCGTATGCTGGCTCACGATCTGCCATGGTGAAGGCGGTCTTACAGCGGAGAGCTCGGTCGCGGTCTGGAAGGCTGTAGATGGACAGTGTTGATCGAAGACAGAGTTGATGATAATTGGAAGTGTCGTAGGCTGGTGGGTGGAATGATGCTGAGGACGGCTAAGGTACGGAGTTGGATGAGACGAGTAGGACCAAATCAAGACTGCGATGCCACCCAGAATGTTTTGCTTGCTACGCTTTACCGCTTTCGGAACAACAGGTACTAAAAGGGGGCTGGAGAAACTAAAGCCAGTTGAGAAAGCAAGCAGCAGAGACAACTTGGATGTTGTAGGGAAATGAAGATGCTACAAATAATAGGCATCAACCGTTCCGATCTCCCTTTCCTTCAGTAATGCCATGGGACTCCAACATTTGGTCAGTGTCTCGGCCAAGGAATGAGGCTGTGTAATGCGGCCCAGCCCAGAAGTCAAGTTGGGTGACGAATTCATCGGCAATATAGGGACTTTGTACTGATATAAAGGGAGTATTTTATGGGCAGCATATGTTCCTTACGTAGTTGTCTTATCATGTCCTAAGGCTGTGTAGGATGTAGATGTACTAATTTACAATTGCGGGCAGCGTTGACCTTAATTTCAACACGTACTGTTTTGGTATCTAGCATTGCAATCATATCCTAGGGAAAGAGATAGCGACCAGCTTGAAGAATGTTCAGAGATGAGGTCAACATCTGAAGTCGTAACCCGTCTTAAATTAATTGTAATGCCAATGCAGGACGCCTACAATTGTGTTGATGCTACTTACGTCTATGGTTGATTTTGTAATGCCCAGCTTCCAAGATTGTTTACTGGCGGCGATTCCCAAGGCTATTGCAGCGTTCATTTGCCCCTGCGAACGCCAGTGGCCACGCAATCAAGGTCCGTACTGCTGACCCTCCAAGAACATCCATCATTCAAGCCAATCTCTACAATTTCACGTCTACACCAAACACACTCTTTGGAAAGCCCATCATTGCCAACTATCCACAGCCTCATTAGCTCCAAGCACGGGGTTGTCGCTCATTGCTACCGTCGCTCGCTTTGACCCAACCATTCCCAGAACAATCGTAATCCACACGCCCTTCAATCCAGTCAATTAAGGGAACACACTACAGATACCGCGCCTAAGCTCTGCAGCTGCTGAGCGGAACAAACGTGGAACGGTAGATATACGCTGAAGCGTAACTCCCGGTTACCAGCGCCATCTCCTGCATTTTCTACCCACAGCCACTATGCGTATGTTCTCAAGACGAGCAGGAGCTCTGTCATTGTTGGGGATGCAGGTCGTGTCTGCGATAGACTTAGACCTAAGCAGTACAGGTATGTTCGTTATTCACAATTCAAGTGAGATGTTAAACCATTTACAGACTCCATCAAGGCCGCAGCAAAGACTGCAGCACAAGGCATGGTACAATATTATACTGGCGATAGACCGGGTGATGTTCCAGGAAACTTACCTCAGCCATACTATTGGTGGGAAGCAGGTGCGATGTTTGCCGCATTGGTGGATTATTGGTACTTTACTGGGGATGATACATACAATGCTATCACGACTCAGGCACTTCTTTTTCAGGTTGGACCCAACAACGATTATATGCCCCCGAATCAAACCAAGACCGAAGGGAACGATGACCAAGCATTTTGGGGCATGGCGGCACTCTCAGCAGCGGAGAATCGGTATCCAAACCCGCCTCCAGACGAGCCACAGTGGCTCGCCCTTGCTCAGGCAGTCTTCAACTCACAAGCCATTCGATGGGACAACACCACTTGCAATGGTGGTTTGAAGTGGCAGATTTTCGCTTTCAACAACGGCTACACTTATAAGAACACCATCTCAAATGGCTGCTTTTTTAATATGGCTGCCCGGTTAGCAGTGTACACCGGCAACACGACTTATGCCGAGTGGGCGAACAGGATGTACGACTGGGTCAGTGCTGTTGGTTTGCTGAGTCCCACATATCAATTCTTCGATGGAACAGATGATACTCTGAATTGCAGCCAGCTAAATCACATTCAATGGTCTTATAATACTGGAGTATTCATGCTGGGTGCTGCTAACATGTACAACTTTGTAAGCGCTTTCTACTACCATCTCTTGCACATGCTAACTCATCTACAGACAAACGGTGAGGCTATCTGGGAGGAACGCCTTCGCGGCATCATCACCGGAGCGGGCGTCTTTTTCCTTAATAATGTCATGTATGAGGTAGCGTGTGAGCCCAACGGAAAATGCAACGTCGATCAGCGTTCCTTCAAAGCTTATCTCGCACGCTGGATGGCGGCAACTATGGTACGAGCACCATTCACAAGGGAACTTTTGCTCCCACTTCTGCAAACCTCTGCCAGAGCGGCGGCGCAGTCATGTACTGGTGGATCCGATGGTCAGCAATGTGGACTCCAGTGGACGACAGGATCTTTCGATGGTAGTGTTGGTGTGGGTGAGCAGATGTCTGCTATGGAGGTGATCCAGGCGAACTTATGGGATCAAGTACCCGGACCGGTCACTGCAGAGAGAGGCGGTATCAGTGTGGGAGATCCTTCTGCAGGCACAGGTGGCGATCAGAGCCCGGGTGGTTTGGATCCTGACGACGTTACCACTGGCGACCGGGTTGGGGCTGGTTTCCTGACTACAATGGTCTTGATTGGTGTGATTGGTGGTGCATGGTGGATGGTGGCATAAAAGAACAGTGCTCTATGGTTGACTATCGGGCGGAAAATGTCCCAATTGTTCCTTGTGAGCTTGCGTGGGAGGATGGTGCACACAGATCTTTTGTTTGGTTGAGGCGTTCTTGGGGATCACTGGAATATGGACCTGCCTCGGATGCCACTTCGAGATAGCTACCCGAGCTGCATTGTCTCCTAAGAGGTGCGCAGGTATCATACAATGTACGGATTCAGCATTTTGTAATGCCAGCCATTGTCAGAATCAAATAATTGTACAAGATATCGGAGCAGGAGCATTCTTCGCAATAAACGACAGCCCTCGGACCCCGTTGTGTAGGTATTCAATGCTCCGGTAAGCACAAGTTTGCGCTTTCTATGATGCGTCATTTTCATTCAACAGGAACTTCTCCTATGATTGAAGCCGATGAAGCCTGTAGTCATCCTCATCTCCTTCCATTGCGCTGGAAGCCCAAGCTCACTAACACTTTACCCTCCTCCAGCAGCCACATACCACCGCGCTTTCACCCCTACCGACCAACCGCCTCTCTCCTAAGCTCTTCCCTCATCTTCTCTTTCTCTGCCTCCTCCATGCCCGTCCTCCGGATGAGCTCCTCCCGCTCCTTCCTTTGCGCCTCGGCCGCCGCCTCCCAGATCGGCTTATCACTTTTACTGTACTCTTTCAACTTGCCAACAAAGTCTTCATAGTCTCGTTGTCGCCGCGCGCGGTTGGCTAGATTCGAGGCTTGCAGGTCGGGGGAGAAGCGGTTGAAGAGCTCGCCTTCGGAAGGGGTGACGTAGTACATTAGGGCAGGGCCGCCGAGGCAGCATATGACACCGCTGCGAGGAGGTTAGCTGGCTTGAAAATGTAGTGAGACATGTATGGAAGGATGGAAAGAGGTAGATGAGAAGAAGGAGCACTACACGGCGGCCATTTTGAGGTACATTGGTCCTCGGGACATGGTTGCGGAGAGACAGCGCTGTCCGCGCAACGCTGTTTCCCGCTAGATATTAAGGAAAGTGTAGATGATAAGGTTTAGAATCATAATTTTGCCTATAGTCACAAAATGAGAAGGGTTTCGAGGGCCGAGGGAGGGAAGAGATATGAACAGCTGACGTAGGTCCCCGGGCAGATTATGATGCTAACTACTGTACTATAACGACCTTCATACAGAATGCCTTGCCGCCATTGTACGAATGATGTACCACCCTAGGGGTCATCCACCGTGTTTAACACGTTAAGCTTCCTCTACTGATTCTATCTCATTCCACAACTATTCTAAACAATGCTAGCAAGATGCCAGGTACTTATAGATGCTTATGAGATGCACACTCAATGTAAGATAGATAATAAACTAGTCCTAATCGAGCGATTGCGGCGTTCTACCTTGGCGTTACAATCTGTTACTAGGGCGGGGGTTACATTTAATATGCCTCCTACCGTAGTATTCAAACCGCTTATCGAAGAAAGAACCCAAGGCTTATAAGCTTGATGGACGGCCTTCCAACACTTTTCACTCCTATGGAGCCACTTGACATGCATCAAGCCTCTACTGTATCAGTATTGTTAACATCCAAAGCTCCTTGCCCTGCCGTCAGAAGCTTAGATGTAACGAAGGTCTTGCGTGAGGTAATCCGACCTCTTTCCACAGCAGCTCCCCCTTCGTCTTCAAGGCAACATTCTACAACAAGGCTTCAAATATGTGCAATGCCAAGGTAGGTCTATATCTGCGTGTCCTGATTCAAGCTGCATGCACAACGCGGGAAGTAAAATATCATATGCTTGCAGCCTCGCCAGCATCTTGACATCAGCTTTCCGCGGACTCATTACCTGGGCTACCTCTTATCCTGCCCGCTTTTCCATGCTGTGGCTCATAGTCACCTTGACCCTTTTCAATGCTGATACTGACTCCCAAGAAGAATACTTCGGAGCTGAATAGTATTTGGCCACCGCATTTCAGAGAGCTTCAGGAAAAATTCATTCCTTCCCGTATCATCAAAATATCTGAGAAATCAACACCTGAGGATGGCCCTTCTATCAGTCTTCAACTCAAATTCATCCACTTGTTTCGTTACTTCTCGGATGGCCATATCTTCACTCTCCAGCCCTGTTCCTCAGTTCCACAGACTCGAAAAAGACGTCATCAACCATTGAGACAGCAGTGAGGCCGATAATGCGAACTCTGCCACTCGTCACTTACAACGGCAATTGGTAAACTCTCCCCCTTTTCGAATAGTACCCGTCTAGGCGTTATGTTCAATGATCGTACTCGAGCGAAACAGCCTTTGTATGGTCGTTGACAATCCCTGTGTGCTGTGTAACCGCCACCTTGATCGCTTTAACGAGCATAATCATGGCTTGCTGTACCGTACTACATTTGCTGTTGTGTACATGTTGGGTAGCGCGTACGGGGCTGGTCAACGGCGACATCATTCGCTTGGAACATGCCATCTTTGCTGCTCTGGCCTGCCATGTTGGTCGAGTAACAGTAATAATGCCAAGACCATGATGTAGTACTATGCTGAACCCGCGCCTCAGAGACCAACGTATGGTTTGCTAGACAGATGGATCGAGCTACCCAATATCATTATGCTCCGTCTGTCTATCCCTTACGCGATGGTTTATTTCTTTTTATCCTTTGTGCAGTGTTCTGGTACAACGGCGAGATCTTCACTACTTGCCAACGGCACGAGACGTAGCAGAAGTCGTGCAAAAGGCGAGCTTTGCTCAGTGTCGCTGTGGCGACCTCGGTATTGGTCGGCGCGTATTTAGCGTGGGCTATGAGGAAGCAAGGTGTCGGCAGGATGAAGCCTTTTGGATCTGGGTTGGTGACTGTGCCGGCGCAGGTAGTGATTGAGTCTATGGTGGCTACAAAGCCGCAATGGAAGAAGGAGCAGCAAGCTAGGGAATTTATGCCTTCAGTGATTGTGTATTTCAAGGAGATGGGCTGGCCTAGGCAAAAAAGGGTACTTGCACAGTGCCGACCGGTAATCGAGGATAGCAGGATGAAGGAGCGTGAAATGTCTGGTCAATGCAATGCTTCAATGCAGACACCGGTAGAAAAATATACACGTATCACAACTCTGCAGCGGAAACGGCCAAGATTCTCAGCATCCATTCATATGCAACAACAAGAACGAGAAACTCCGGCTTCTTCGTGCAGGAGGATGAAGGTTCCAGTCAGCAACGGATCTCTATCTGGATTGCGAAACCTGAAGGAGGGCGGAAAAGCTTTTCAGAGCGACCAGCAATTTCGCCGAGCAAGGAAACCGGTTCTCTATCATCTTGAGCATGCCGTTGTTGCGTGGAAAAAGATCTAAGGTTACAGTGACCGCAGCGGGCAAGAGATTCGCGGTTGAGGAAACCAAAACTTATTTATCATTATCCTAGAAACTAGAAGGGCTCAAAAAACTTCAAGAACACCTTGCTTACTCCCTAGCCTGCGCAATTAGTCAATCCGACTCTTCAAACGCCCAACCAGAGCTTGAACACAATTATGAATGTGGGAAACTGGAGCAAAGCTTTTTACTCCTCGTCCTCTTCCACGACCGGTGCCCTCCCCTTGATTTTTGGCAACCCATCCACAGCCGCGTTCCTCTGGAACTGCTCAAAAGTCCAGGCATCCACGTTGATCGCAAACACCATGCCCTTCCCACAATGCGAGTTCGGCGTCCTGTTCGCCTGCTTGCAATAGAAGAACCTCGGCTTGTCACTCTCCAGCGTGATATCGAATGGTTTGAAATTCGGAATATCATCCGGGTTGAAGTTGCCGAAGTTGGTGTCGAACTGGGCGCCCGGGATCTTGGTGCATGGCTTCTCGAAGCTGGATTCGGTGAAGGTATGGTTGATGGCGCGGAAGTCGAAGTGGATGCGTTGGCCTTGGCCGACGTGGTTGATGTAGGGTGGGTCGAAGATCAGTTGTTGGTTGGGGCCGACGAGGACGGAGATGATGGGTGCGGCGGCGCTGTTGATGCTGCGGGCTTCTTCAGGGGCGGCTACTAGGGTGCTGGTGGGTTCTTCTGCGATGGCGGAGGCGGAGGTGAATGACAGGATGCCAAAAAGGGCGGCGAGAGTGATGAAGGATTTCATGGCGATGATAGGGACTGTGAGAGAAGACGTATGGACAGTGTTGGAACAAGAGATGGAAATGATAAGAACAGATGACGCTGTAAGGAGATGATGCTGTGGAGAGAAGATACTTTGCTCGCTGTGCTGAATGAAGGAGAGTAGAGCAGACGGATAGATCGTTATATACTCAATTCACAGTTGCCATATGACAAATCTTGTTGTAGACAGCCTCAGTTCGTTCTCTAGTCGTATATGCAGTATGGCTTATGACCGGGTCGTGATGATTCCGAGAGTTGCCAATTTTGGTACTCTCTGGGGAAGTAATCCTCGATTAGGATAGGCCTGTCAGATTTCTCTGTAGAAGGTCAAAAAGCACTCTAAAATCAGTAATGTACACGTTGGTTGGTATTTAGGCGCTGTGTTACGAGAAGAGGATTATACCCGTTGAGCTAAACGTTGTGGAGGCGGCGGCGCAGTACCGTCAGCAAAAAAGTGCTAATGCACCCAGCAGCGACCATGGCTGCTCCAACACGATGCGCCTGGAATAGCACCAGCGTCCGGGTGCAAATTTGGATTCCTCGGCAAAAGACGAGCCGCTTGTGGGAGCCACAACGGCGATACCGTCAACAAGACACAAATACTAGGTACAAGTGCTTAGTAAAGCGTGGCATCTCATGACCAAGCAACACTCTGTGATCGTATTGTGCCCATGTTCATTTGAGACTCTTAGCAAGTGAGACAATCGAAGTCAGATTACGTCAATATCAAAGCTCCCCAACCAGATATTGCTAGTGTTCTCGTATTTTGTGAACAGCAACAAGAGAAGAAATGAACAAAACCACCGTCAATGATTGCTAACCCGTCAGCTGAACACTTTTTATCAGCGCGCACAAGAGCCTGAAGATGAGCGGGGCGTCTGATGGAGGATATTGAACACCATAATCACCTCTTAGTAAGGTTCAACATCTTGATGTAAGGTCGAGTATCTATGGAGTAGTTGGTACTCCGTAGTAGTTAGACAATAATAACTGTGGTGTAGCGGAGGTGGAGAGTTTCAAGTGGCGGAGCCAGCATGCCAAACCCCTGAGCTTCCAGCTAACTACTACTGGGGTGTTGGAGTATTGTTGATTCAGCGCTAGTATCTTTACTTGAGAAAGACCATTGTACAGAACAGCTAATCCTATATTGGATTATATGTACATTTTAACCTCATTTGAATGGATGTACTTCAGTCAAGCTTTTCAATAACAACTCACAGCGCTTTGATAAAGTCACAAAGACTAGCCGTTACTAGCACCAGCCTAACAATAGTCATGCCTCCCCCAGTAGTAGTACCCGCGGTCGGCCCAGCCTCTCCAATTCCGAGCTCTCTTACAGCTCCAATTGTTGCTGCAGGAGGATTCAAACACTTTCCTCTGCCAAATAGTCATTCTTTTGAGGATCTGTTGTCATTCGCCGATTCGTAAACCATATCCCGTCTCACTAGATCCATCGCATCATGGCTGAACCCGAGGTCGAAATATCCGCAAGCGCAGAACCGGATGTCGAAATGGCCGTGGCAGGTGCAGAAGAAGAAGCAGTAGATGGGGAGAATGGCGATATTGGTGGCCCCTTTGGGGAAGACGACGCAGAACGATCGAACCCGCAGACAGTCTTTCTGGAGTACCTGCGATCACCTATTGTCGAGCTTATGGTCGGCTCTGGGGACGAGGCAACACTCCTGACGGCGCATCAGGCTCTCGTCACGCAAAGTCCGTACTTCGCAGAAAAGCTTGCGGACCACTCAGAAGGCACGCGACGCTTGGACTTGCCTAAAGAATCTCTCGACGCTGTTGGCTGTTTTCTTCAATACCAATACACTGGAGAGTACTTCCCTCGACGAGTCGCATCGAACCCCGATGGCCTTGAAGCCGACCCCTCCGTTCCGCCCGTCGACGATACTGGCGCACAGCTGCTGAAGCACGCTCGCGTCTACACCCTAGCTGAAAAGCTCGGTATGCCAGAGCTCAAGACCCTTGCTCACTCCAAGATCCACAGGATCAATTCAACAGCGGTCGGCGAGATCGCGTACGCTCGTTATGTCTATGGCAACACACCGTCCACCGATGACACCATCCGTAAACCCGTTGCCGCGTTTTGGGCTACCAGAAGTCATGTTCTCAGGCATGAAGCGGAGCAGGAGTTCAGGCAGATGTGCTTGGAGTTTCCACAATTCGGATTCGATGTCCTGAGCCTCGTGCTTGATCAGAGGGAAAAAAGGAGTGCTGCGCGAGACGACGAGACGCCGATGAAAGGCAGCTCGAGGAAACGGATGAGACCTTCGGTTCAAATATAAGAAAGGCTGTCGCGTAGTGGCAGAAGGGCTAGTCGCAGAGAAGTTGAGAGAGTGGAAGCTTGTACTACTACTGTTGGCATAGATGTCGAATATTCTCGAGTCAAAAGTATATTGTGGAGAATACGGTCTCATTAGTGACTGAAGTTGGGATAAGTCCCTTGTCTTAGTAATTGACAGAGTGACTATCATTCCTCTTCTTTCCTAGCAACGAATAGTAGTAAAACCTTGAGCGGGCCAGAAACGCCGGTGTCCGGATCTTGGCAAAAGCCTGTCTCATCTTCAGTAAATAAAGACAAGACGCAAGGGGTTGCTTGAATGTTCACAAACAATGAAGTATGGAATATGAGCGATGGATTCCCGTATCCTGCCACAAGCATGACGACCACCTCGATAGCATTTCGATCGTCATCTCAGATCTCTCTCCGCTTTCAGCTATCCCAGCTCCTAATGTAGAGTTCCTGGCAGCATCCCGCCCTCCAGGTTTCCTTCTCCATCTTACTTTATCTCCAGACTTATCCTCATCCTCATCCTCTGCCACTGCGTCACCTGTAGTTGAGGTCTCCCTAGCAGCCTTTCTCTTCTTCTTCTTCTTGCCACCGGCTGCCTCGTCCTCGTCATCAACTACCTCATCCTCGTTTTCCATCTTGGCTGTCTTAGCCACATTCTTCTCCCCAGGTTTCTTTCCAGCTGCCTTGCGCTTTCTAGTGCCTGGTGCTGTGGATGCGGACGCCGGTAAGGAGGCAGCGGCAGTCGTATCGTCAGCCGGTTCGGTGAAACGTTCGTTGCCCGATGATCTCGAGACCATGGGCTGTGAGGATGGTTTTCTATTTCTTTTGTCTTTTATATCCATTTTAGTGGCGGAATAGAGGGAAATCATAGGATTTACTGACTCACGATTTAGAGCAATCAGTCAATCCAAAATCAGCATTGGCTTTATTATAATTCACAAATACTCCGTCTTACGCTATTCCGAGTACTCTCTATGCTTCTTACCTGCATGTCTTTATTACTCTCGGTTCGCAAATCTGTTGGCCTCAGGGTGTCCATCAAATCAAATAAACCAAATCCAGGCCTCCGTTTGGTTTGATTACGTAATTGAAACGCTCCGTTTGATTTGATTTGACTCATTTGTCAAATAGGTCAAATTTTATGGAGCTAGCCTATTTCGGCTTCTTCGACGACGACGACGACGAGGAGAGGGAGAAGGAGAAGGGGCTAAGGAGGAGGATATAGCTATTATCTAACTATTAGCACTCAAATAGAACTCATTGACGCTACATACCGTCGTCTATCTCTCAAATAACCTTGTTGTTGTACCAATTTCGGAGGCATTCGGACATTTCAACAGTATCTGGACTCAAATGATTGCGATTTGGCGTGATAAGTAACTTTGCAGAGCTAAATACACGTTCGCATTCGGCGCTCATAGCAGGAATAGCAAGAATAGTGTACGCAAGGGTAGCCAAAAGAGGAAATGAGGCCTCTTGCTCTCTCCACCAAGCGATGAGATCCTTAGGCGTTGATTTCAGCGCAGGTAGCTGACAATAGGCCTTATATTCATCAGTAGCCTCATTTTCGTTGCTTGCTGCTTGGCCAGAGGCTAGAAAACTCTTGAATGAGCCTTTTTGAGGAGATAACTGAGCAGAAGAAGGCAGTAATTGCTCCTCCTCAACTACCTGCTCATGCTGTATCTTGTACACGCTCCATAGCGCCTTCATCTTCCTCTTCGCCTCAGGGATCCAGTGCTTGTTTCGCTTCCAGTGTATGTCGAAATATCTCCATTTGTGAGCAGGGTTGAGGACGATAGCAGCGACATAATAAGGAGAGAGATCAGTTATCTCGTAGTATTTGTTCATCTTGTTCCACGCGTTATTTGCTGACAGGCCAACTCTATCCCTAACGCTCTTATTCTCCTTGAGCGTTTCGAGCGTTGTTAAGAGCCATTCGATTGCAGGGAGGCACTCCCATAGAAAGCCGTATTTGGCGCCTTTGTTATTGCTCTGTAGAAAGTTTGTAGCTTCGTCAAACGGCTGTAGAGCGTCACAGAGCTCTTGAAGCATTGCCCAGTCGTCTTCTGTGAGCTGAGGGAGCTTATAAATAGCTTCATCTGCTATTTTGCCCTTGAGATCACGTTTTGCTTGACAACTGTTGACGTACACTTGTATATGATTTTTGAGCTCTAGAACGCGAACAAGCATATGGTAGGTTGAGTTCCATCGAGTTGTATTATTCTGAATAAGCATCAAATTCTGCTTGTTTGGATCAGGATCTGTGCCAGTTATCTTGCGAAATGCCTGCCTGCGCTGTGGGCTGCTTCGAATCAACGAAATGAGGTTTTGAACATGGCCAATAAGGCCCTGAGACACCCAGCTGCGCTGTAAATCTTCGATATCTTCGCTATCTTCAATAGCAGCATGTTCTCGTAGCCATTTCTCTGAATTTTGGCCAAATATGAAGTCCTGTGCAGCAAGATTGATGATATGACCTAAACAGCGTAGTCGACAGCGCTCTTCTTCGTGTATATCGTGTAATTCGAGTTCATTAAGGATGTAGCGAACTGCTGTATCGTTATTGCTAGCGTTATCAAGAACGAACGCGCCGAGTCCGGATTCGGCCTGGAATTCGCGAATAACGTCAACGACTGTTTGACCAATATTCTCGCCCCTGTGGTCTCCATAGATCTCACGAATACCAAGTAAGATAGTTCTAACTTGGTAATCATCATCTACGAAGTGTGAGACGATTCCGATCAGTGCATAGCCGTTAGGGGAGGTCCAAATATCGAAAGAGATATGAATCTTTCCTCGACTCTTCTGGAGCATAGCATTTATCTTCTTTTTGGCCTTTTTGAACTCTTTTTCGATCCAACTTCGTAATGTGCTCTTGCTAATAGGTAGGTAAGGCAGGATTTCGTTCGTAGTACTCGAAGAATAAAGAAATAGGCTTCGAAATTGCTCATTAGTAACCATATTAAAGGAGACATAAGAAGTTGTGACCCATCTGATTAGACGATCTTGAATAGATGCATTAACTACCGCAGGCAGATTTTGAAGCTGCTAAGTCTCTGCGAATCGACGTTGTTATTTAATGACAGATAGAGGCAATGAAGCAGGAGATTCACTGTTTATCCTGATACTATGCTTTCTTCGTAAATGATCTGTTGCGTTAGTTGTCGCAGTAGCAACAAATCGCTCTTGACATAGATCACATTCCCACTAGCGCTGTGTATCAGATCCGCCTTCCAGTACCACCTCTTTTCCATGAAGCCATATGTGCGAAGTTCGTGGCCGTTTTGATTGTCGTTCAAGAATAACATAGCTTTGAGTTCGTTTTCGAAGATTACGAGCTTGGATAGCTGAAAATCCATTTGTAGGAGTTGGAGTGGGGGTTTGTTCTGCGGACGTACAGGATCCTGGTCCGAAGGACTCAAGATTAGATGGAACTTCTGAAAATGGGCTCAACGATAATCGAATAGAACTATTCATGATGTACAAGATAGAATAAGAGATGCTGAATACAGCTAGCTATGTCTGAATATGTAGAAACGCTTTATTTTATGGTAATTTATGGTCAAAGTTTGTCTCTAGTCTTTGGATCAGGATTTAACATTTGCGGAGAACAATTTGAATATTTTATTCTAACGTACACATACTACCGAAACAGGCAATTAGCTCAACACCAACGTTGAGCATAGAGATAGCTCTATCAATTACACTGATTTCTACACGAATTACTGGCCAATTCGACTCAGAATTGGCCTAATTGTCTTCTACACATACAATTTGACTCATTTGGCAAATCTGTAGATGCCCATTTGATTTGATTTGAGTGGAGATTTGCGTTTGTTTGCCAAGCATTTGATTTGGTTTATTTGACTCCGTTTGATTTGATGGACACCCTGGTTGGCCTTGTCCCGACAGCCACCATGATACCCATCTTCTCTACCCTTGAGTTGACAGCTCTTCCCAGCTCTGTGGTGGCCTTTCCTTCCTCCTAGGGCCGGCGTTCCAGACTCCACACATGGTTTATCCTTGGACACGACTCTTTGCCCCAACAGCTGACTGCCTTCCGGGCTGACTGCACGGCTCAGATCTGCTCTCAAGCACTCGCAAACAAGGGACAATTGGTAGGGCAGCCACAATAAGGACAAAGCGTCTCTTAGTGTTGTTTGGGACTAACAATTCCATCTCTACCGTATCGACCGTAGCTTGAAGTAGAGAGGTTGCTCTCTATCACCTCAAGCTAATGCATAATCCGACAATAAGATGAGTTAGCGCTATCTGATCGGACGCAATGCAGGCAAAGGCCAATACTGCTGTTCAATTTATCCAATCTGCACCGACGGCTGTTCCTATATTCTGGCGCAGCATGCTTGTATCCATAGGAGCATGGAGCACTTCCCTCCTCAGGGCTCGGATCAGGCATCTTGTCTGCTATCTCTATTGCCTGGGAGATGCAAAGCAAGCGCGTTAGCCATAATTTTCGTTGCTCTAGTAACTCCATATAGGCATATGCATATTTGCTTGACCATCCACACCCATGGGGGCACCCCCCGGTGGATATTCCTTCTACTAATATTTCTGCTAGTTCTAGCCTTGCCAAGCTCCTTTGTTCTTCTAGCAGACCTGTGCATTATCCAGTCAGTCACATATTCTGAATGCTCAGATTGATTGTTTGGTACTCACAGAATACTTTCCAGTTCATAGCAGACTCAACCTCATTGCATGAGAGAGCAAGGTAGGGACCACCGTGGTTGAGTATCAATGCTTTGGTGATTTCATTAAATGCCTGGGCGTTCTGGAACAAATAAGCTGCGGCAGTGAGAAGCATCAGATCGCCAGCTTCCTGTCCGCGACGCCGAAGCCAACATTCGCTAACAAATTTCACTGCATTAAGACAATCATACTTGTCCGCCACGACAGAAGTCCTTAGAACCTCGATTGCGGCAAGAGTTTGAGGCACCATTTCGTTCCGGTGGTGAAAGCTGGCACAGAGAAGCTTTATTGCGGTAGAATTGTCGTCAGGCAGTTGTACCTCTACTGGCCCATCTCGACTGAGCATATCATGGCCTCCTTCCAGTCTGGTCCGAGCAAGACAGAGAAGGGTTTTGAGGCTGCCTTGAGAAACAGTGACTGCACACGAAGCTTCTTCTTTTCGGGCCCAACAACCAGAATGACGTCGCCGCCTGCAGTGATCTCATCAATTGTGTTTGGATCTTCGCATTTTGGTTCTTGCATATTGAGTAGGTAAGAGATTGTTTTCTTGGGTAATCTCCTTGATGTTATGGCATATATCTCATGATTTGTTATGGGCAGCGATGGGTCTCTTACATCCACACCAAATTCTTCCCAGCGGTGGCTGGTCTCCTACCTTGGCATCTTGGCGCCAAGGTATGACCATTGGATACGGAGTACTCCGTAATATCACATGATATCAGGGGTTCCTCGCGCCTTGCGAAGAACAAGGGGGGAACCATTACGGCTGAATGGCGGCGGTATGCGGGGGCCTCGCACTGATCGAGGGGGCGGACAGTGTACTATACAGTTTCTACATAATGGCTAAGGGAAAGTTTAATACCAAGGTATGACTGATGTTAAAGCCGTCTATTTGCTAAAAGTGGTAGAAGCTGCCTTTTCCAACATTACTACCGCAGCGAAAAGTTATTTTTATGCCAAGGAATGTTGAACTTTTGCTAATTACGGTAATTGTACACGACGGAAAATAATGACAAATGTTGTCTAGAGTATGTCTTTGGCGAGAATCACCAACCCCTGTCCACCATGTCGCGTCGTAGGCACCCTGTCACATATCGAAGGAATTCCGACTCTCGATCCTTTAGGTACATCACCACTGCCGATTCGACAATTCGAAGCTTTGTCCCCGAATCCAACATCCGGTGAAGGGTCGACGCCCAAAACGCGACACCCGACGCAGCTCAAAGGAAACTTGGAAACTTACGTAGGCGGTGAATCAGAAAGCTCGAGCGATTCAGATGTCGAGACTACATTAGTGGAGGCAAGGAGGGTTGTGAACGAAGGCATAAACCTTACAGCATACCCTGAACGTAGGATGCGTCCAAACGGCATGTCCTGCAACATTGAGAAAGGTCATCGTCAAACAATGGGCGACAGATGCTGGGAAATTGTCATTATAGGCGCTGGACCAACGGGATGTATGCTGGCGTGTCCCCTGCTCCAAGCATCCATTCCACGACTCTCCGTCACCATCTTCGGGGCCAAAGAAAGCACTACTAGCGTCCGCACGCGCCCGCACGCGCCTGCGGTACGGGGGCACCTTGGGTCTCCATCCCCGAAGTCGGGTCTTTGGGCTCTCAAGAAGGCTCAATTTTATGAGAAATTCCTGAACTATGCCCAATACGACGGCTCGTTCTTTGAATTATGGGACAAAGGGCGCACAACCTACTTCCGGCGGCCTTGTGATAGGCCAGGTACAAAGAATGGCAAGCCCGAAGTAGACCGAGCACAACTTCGTTCGATCCTGTTGGATGCGCTACCGGCCAAAATTGTCCACTTGGGCCACCGTCCGCAATAAGTCACAGGACCTGCCCGTACACTTCACTTTCAAGATGGCCAGGGGAGGAGCACTTGGACCGAAGGCGGTATTGACCATGTCGTCGGAGCTGATGGCGCTTGGAGCCAAGCGCGAGGTTGGCTTTCGCAGGAGATCCGATTTGTTCCGGCATCAAATGGTGCAACCTGTTGATACCTAGCCAACTGGTGAGTCCAACGGTAGAGCGGCTGATCACCATGGGTCCATCTTCGCCTTCTCTGAGGGCAGGGCCATCATGGGTCAGAAGATGGGAGGTGGCAGCATCGATGTTTCTGTCTGGGGAACAGCGACAGAGGAGGAGGAGGAGGAAGAGGAGGAGGAGGAGGAGGAGGAGGAGAAAGAAGAAGTAGTAGAAGAGGCTAGTGTTCCCGTAGTCAGCCAGGCGGTGAAACAAAAGATTTTGCATGACTTCAACCATTAGAATCCCAGCTTTTGAGCCTTGTGCAAGACGCCCAACTCGAAACATTCGTTCAGAGATCCCTCTACATGTTACGACCAAGCTATCGATGGCCGACCCGGAAAGGAGTGACGCTGATTGGGGATACAGCGCACTCGATCGGCCCTTTTGCAGGAGAATGAGTTAATCTAACCCTTGAGGACGCGGTGGCCTTGACCAATGCCATCGTCAAGGCATTCAGGACAAATGCATCATCGAGCAGAAGCAACACCGCGGCATCTCTTGCGTCAGAAATCTCGCGATTTGAATGAGAACTGTTCCAAAGGGCCAAAAAGCCCCAGCATCTTACCTGTGGGATGCTACAAGACATGTTCTTCACAGAGGGACCTCCCAGAAAGTCGATCGAGTCCTACCTCATCACGCGGGTCACTTATGATCTCAAACCTTGGCTGGCTCCTCTCATGTACCCGTCATAGCGCTTGGGATCCACAGCTTCTACATTATTTTCCAGCTGTTTGTATGAAAGGAGGAACAGAGTAGATCTTCAAGGCTCTGACGAGGCCAAATGCACCCACTCGAGCCTGAGCATAGATGGAGCCCTGTGCAGAGGTGGTTTGCGACAAGCTAGTGCTATGATCTCATGGAACTTAGCCCCGGCCCGCCCAAAGATGTCGACCCTAGTAACTATGGCGGACGATTGATGAGTTAGGACAAATCACCCTGCAACCTGCAGCAGAATCCAACTTTACTCACGTGATGCTGTGACTATGTATGACTGAATTGTTATACTTGATAAGGCTTTTGTATTCTCGAACAGATAATTAGGAATACTCCACATTGTCACCAGCAAAGTTCATTGCTTGTACTCCAATCATAGTAGGACCCAAAAACGAACCGAGGACGGGTAAGCTGAGGGTGAGCAGCCTAAGCAGCAATTGGATGGAGTCTGAGCACACGGGTAAGCTAAGGACAACAAAGACTGAGCTTTTAGTGGTGCGGGGTGAGCGGAGGCTGACCTGAAATTGAGCCGACAAGAAAATGCTTAGTAACCGCCTGACTAGAAGATGAATGTAAAACTTGATCAATACTGGAATGTCAATATCAGCTAGATACGGTAACATCTTATTGTGGCAGCAACTCATCAGAGCGGCAGCTCATCACAGGAATACCCTGTTAGTATTTTATTGAAGCAGCAACTTATCAAGAAAACAGCTTTGTTAATTTATAGGTAAACAGCTTCCCCTCTACCTAATTATGAAGTCCAGTTCTAGTGTTCTAACAGACATCTTAGAAGTATAAATCGGCCAGTCAATCTTGCTACTGGTGCTCTCCAAGAAGTCATATCCAGTAGCAAATCATATCTGGTAGCAACCGTATGTGGTAGCACTACGCTTGGTAGTCTCTACGCTTGGTAGTCTCTACACTTGGTAGCATCTACGCTTAGTAGTCTCTATGTCTGGTAGTCTCCGGATCCAGCAAATCCATCCAGTATTGCTCCACCATATAAACGGAGCTCAAACGGAGCTCAATCGTCATCAGCGGCCTCACTATCAGACTCATTCTTGCCATCGCTTCTACCAGCAGCCGCTTTTTTTGGCTGCAGTAGTCCTGCCTTAGGTGTTTGTGATGCGGTTAAGAAGACCTCATCTAGGATTGCAGAATGAACTAAAAGTGATGATCGGGCATCAGGGGGAATAGCCGGTAGCAGGAAAAGAAGTAGAAAAGTTAGGCGAAAGCAGCATCTTTAAAACCAATCTTCTTTGCAACTTCAGCGAAGTCTGTGTCTTTGAGTTGAAGTGTTTGATTGTGCTGTACAGTGTTTTGGGGTCCGGATTATTAAGATAATCTTCAACTAGAATCACTTTGTGTATCTTGTTGGCGATTAAGAAAGAAGGTTAAAGGAGGGTGTATTGAGAGATTCGGAAAGGGAATAAAGAGATATTTACAGGGGCCTATACCTAGTAGTTGGGCTGGAGACTAGCATCTTCAAGAAAAAGCGGTACTAATGGTAATAGGATCTGCTGAATTGTGTATCCTAAAAGCTCTGCCTAATGGCTAGGAATTTTATTGCTTGTCTGCTTTAGCCAAAAGAGCGGTGCCAACATCCAAAGCACTTCATCTGCAATGTGCTAGATACACTGTTCGGCTGTTATGCTGATCTATTCGTCGATATCCTCCTTGACTGACATTGGCGAATCACCAGCATTCTCCTCATCATCCACCAGCTCGTCCTCCACATCCGCTACCTTGCGCTTCTTGGGTGTAGCCTTGGTAGTAGTATTTTTGATCTTCGCTTCATTTCCGCCATTCTTAGTACCCTTTCCCTTTCCTCCACCACGCTTGCCAGCTTTTGAGGGTGTAGTGGCTGTAGCAGTAGGAGTCAAAGGCGAAGCTGGATCAGGAGCCGCGTCGGTAGCAGCAGTGGCCGCAGTTCCATTAACATCCTCAACATCATCTTGGGCTTTGAGAAGACGCTCGAACCGCTTCTTGCTGTTACAACAAAAATATGGTGTCAGTTAGAAGATTTCAAATCATTAATTACTCTACTTACACAGCAGCGGTCGAAATGATTCCGGTCTTTGCCTTGATGAGTTCGAAGTCAGGTTTTCCTGTCATAATCTTCACCGCGTAGTAGAGCAGCATGTAGTTTGGATCGTTCTCAAAGGTTCGGGTAGCGTTGGATGAGGACATTGTAATTTCTTATGACTGAATGTTGGTATGAGGTAGAGAAGTCGCGAACAGTGGATGCTCGAGATTGAATTTTTGTGATAGAAGATCAAAGGTTGTGTGGTAAAGATCAAAAGCAGATCAGAAGATATTTGAAAGACATAGAAGACCGACCGTGTGTTTGGAGTTTATGGAAACTCCGAGAATTCACTAGACCTGCATTCATGATACAAGGAAGGCAGACAAAAGAAGATTTTGAGCCTTTCAATCTCTAGAAGTGTCAAAGTCTCACTAGGATGTTGTGTGAATATATAGAAGAAGAAGACCTTGTAAATTAATCTCGAAAGCACTCAGGTCTTGTTGAACTCGCTTGAGCAAAAGTCAGTATAGAATCTGGAATTTCCATTGGTGCAGCAGCACTATCAGCTCTACTTTCTGTTGTTAGGCCATCTGATTCTTTGTAGCTCCCTACTCAACACCATTCTTGAAGAGCGCAGTCTATTATCCCTTAGCCTCGACCAAACCATCTCCACCTCCCTTCATTTCGGTGGTCTTTCGTTTCTTTCGAGCAGATCCTGCATCCATCAATTCTTTTGGCGTAATAGCAGCCTTAGTCTTTGTTTGTATCCCTACAGGAGTCTTTGTGTCTCCCATAAAGTTTCCGTCATTGCCAGTTTCACCAATCTGATCACCTTTGATGGTGGTTGCAATCTTTTTTTCCCTAAAAGACGTCTTAATCGCTTTCGACAAGAAAAGTCAATGGACTAATTTGACAAAAATAAGAAGTATCCCTGTATCTTACGCTGCCTCTGCATTCGGAATCTCAATATCAGAGGCAACTCTCTCAAAGTCGATGCGGTCTTGGAGATGAGTAAGGACGCTATACAGCGGCTTCTTCTCTGCTGGTTTGAGTTCAGTGTCTGCATTGCTGGATGCTTGGGCCTTGTCAGTTGTTTTCAGAGTCGACATTGTGAATGATGAAGGTAGGACTGATGTTTTCTGTGTTCTAGAAAGATCTTTCTCTTCAATAGAAGGTACGGAGGTCGAGATAGCCGATGGGAAAGACAAGGTACAGTAGATGTGTAATATTGTGGGACTTGTTGAAGCTTTAATATAGTGTTGCCTGGAAATCTCCTGCAGAAAATCAAAACGGAGGCTGGTAGAATCGCGGTAGTCTCAGCATGTTGGGCACTGTCTATGTCCTGTTCGAGTCTCTACTCTGTTAGAGCAGCAGAAACCCAAAACAGTATTGTGGGGGATGTTGTCAGACGTACATAGCCGAGTCCTAAGCTGAAGAATTGGTTGTGGATTTGGTACCAACCCTCTCTTCTCTTGTAGCGGGCCCCGATTAGCAAAACACACTCTAATCAGGAGCAACTGAAGACCAAACACATATAGTAAGCAATTCTGATCAAATATTCATCAACAACATATTGCTGGTTCATCCGATGTTTTGCGCAGTGTAATAATCTTTGCAACCTTAACCAAGACTTGAGATCGGCGGTACAAATAACTATGAGTAGCTTAGGAGCAACCTTGAGCTATCATTCCTGTGTCATTAGTGTGCTGCAGAGACTTTGCTGTGCACCATTGTTAAGTAGCGCCTAATTCGTGGACGGCATGGTTGTCGTAATCTTTGTTCATTGTACGCCTGTTGCCAGAAGCTATAGGCGTTCTAGGCGTTTCTACTACTGTTCAGCGCATGCCTGTTGCACTTATGTTATCTTCTGCCCATTCCTGGCACATGCCTCTCGAAATGTGGGATGCTGGACCTGGAAGCAAGGAGGTTGACTTTATTGGCCCATCGGAATGATCGCCCGACAGACCAGTCTCAATTAGGTTCAATAGTGAGTATGAGCTTGTTATGCATTTTCTTAAGAAAATAGATGACAGTGGGATTTTCTCTCAAAAGCCTTTCCAGTAAGATTACTTTGGAGCTAAGTCATACTGACTAAGCACTGAGCCCTTAAATTTCACTTGGCAGTTCCTATGGAGAATTGTATATCAGTCTGAGTACACTCAAACTAGATGAAGAAGCCCAAATAAACTAGCCAGAATGGAGCAATGTATTGATTTATGTTGTCTCCATCTTTCAGTCACTAGACTTGGTGAACTTTATTCAATCAAGCGACGCCTTTCTGCACCACTCGGAACTCCTAACCAACCCAAGCAATATGCCACGCCATGATGTAGTCTTTTGTCATCTCAAGCTTCGTCTTCATCCTCCTCAGCATCAGCCGCAACGACCTTGCCCTTGACAAGCTTGTATTTGCCACCCTGCTCGACGATCTTTTTGAATTTCTTCTGTCTGTACATAGTATTAGTGTGCTTTGAATGTATAGACTGATATAGCATACGCATTGTTTGCACTTGCAATATCCGCAGCCACTGCAGTTGCATGGAAGTCAGGCTTGAATTCTGAGTTCGAGATAAGTAAGAGCATATAGTCAAGGGCAGCTTCGGCATCAAAGGGTTTTGAGGGTGCCATAATGATTGTAGTCTTGTTGGAAGCGGTTGAGATGATGTTGCTTTGTTGAATAGTACTGCAGTGTGTGTGATAAGATGTTGTTGGAAGAATGAAAAGTATAGATTGTAGTCTTAAAGAAAGAGTAGTGCCTAGGGCCGGAACGGATCAGTCTCCGATTGGCTAGTACTGCGGCGAATAGACAGACCGATCGGGTAAGCTTACTCTTCCAGGATTAAGCTATCTTGGCGCCTCTTACTGACACTAAGTATTGACACCCTCCAGCACTACATATTAATACTTTTTGAAATATTAGTAAGGTTTCTTCTTTTCACATGGGAGTCCACCTGGACTATTTATCTCAAAAACAGCATATCTACTCACGTAGTATTGGCGGCCTCTATCCTTCATTAATAATCCATATTTGTAAAGATTGTCAAAAAGGCCTTTTCATGAAGTAAGTAACTTGAGGGCCTCCACTGAGAGTTTATATTATCTTGGGGTCTAGTTCTCATCTTTTTCATGAGTTCTTTGATATAGTGTGCAGGAAGGTGTCGGCTGAATGGCTTCATAAGCCATCTTCTGAAAAGACTACCAGCAATCTGACCTCAAGGGGGGTGCCAAGCATCTTTAAGAGGTTGGTCAAGTTTGTAGAAGAGTCTCAGGCTGCGATGCATACATTGCATTCTAGACCGCCCGGAGTACCCCTTGTTGTAACAAGAGCAGGCGGCTTTGTGATAAGGTCTTTGTGATGTGGAATGCCTCATTATCATTGTTTGATGATGAGATGCACAATAGAATGTGGTGGGGAGAACGGCCTAACCAGTCAGGACTGCTACTCTTGGTTTTCCTTTCTCTTTGGGCTGAAATGCCTACATACAGTGGCAGGTACTTGCAGATAGACAACACGAACTTGTCTAGTGCTCAGACAATCAGAGATCAAGCCTTGAGTTACCCAATAGGTTGGTTCTTGGACTCTCCTGGGGAATGGCCTTTTTATCAAGGTAGCAGGGACGCGCACCACAAATTTTGCAATGTCCTCACAGCCATCATGTATTGTAAGGCTCTATCATTCTCCCAGCAGAATTCCATCTCGTTCGTCAACTTTTACACATGTGCAGGTGAGGATGCAGGTATTGTTTCATCCACCAAGTGTTCATGCCCGAGGGGGCAATTTCTGCCAAGACTTCTTCCGAACTTTCCGAATTACGCGATTAGGCAAGTGCTGAGACTGTTCATCTCGGTGAAGCGACAATGTCGGTTATAAGCACGCAATTCGTAGTGCGCAAACTACGATCATAAGGCCTCTTTTGCTGTTGAATCATCAAATGTTATGTCAGATGGAACCTGTCTTCCACCACCATTTATGTCACTCTTGAGCACACACCAAGACAAGTGCCGCTACCAAGCCGCAAGTAATAGTCCAGGCTAATGTAATTCCCTTCAAAAGCGAAGCGGCTGCAAGAAATAATGGATGAAAATCTTGTTTACATGCTCCCGCGATCTTTCACTGTTTTGGATGTGCAGGTTGGTCGCATTGGTTTTGATTTCAAGGGATAGCTCTTCGAAAGGCAAACCAGGTCGTAGCTGTTACCAGGCTTTTGAAGATCCGGGATCAAGGTAACATCGGATTGTGACATGAATGGAAACAGCCAGCAGCTTTTTCTTTGAGACACGAGAAGCACAAATTGCATAATGACCATCCTGGTCACGAGTGTAGATGAGCACACGTAAAAAAAAATCCTGAGGATGACTGTGTTATTTTAAAGCTCTCAAGGGTGATTGCAAAGCAATAGCCCGACGTCAACTACCGCTACAGGCCCTTTGTACGAACAGCACCTCGAGTTACCAGCAGCAATAGTCATCAGAAACATTCCCCAGTTTTCACTTCCCAGTGACCAGGCACTTTAAGAAGAGCATCTTAGGCACTCGTCTTAGCTTTCTTGCTTGGGCTCTCCATCTCCTCTGACGCCTCACCATCAACCTCATCTCCATCAACATCGCCGTCCTCACCCTCCTCAGTCTTAATGAAAGCACGTTTGTTTGTAGCCGCAGCGCTGCTGTCCTTCTTGGCCTTTGCTGCCGCAGGTCTGGTCCCAACCAAACCAAGCTTCTTCATCATGCCCCAGTGACGATGGTAGCTTGGATATAAAAGTAAGCAGTGTCCTTGAAGATCGAGACATGGGAAAGGAAGGAAAGACTTACGCAGCCCTACCGCTCTTCAAGCCACATTCTTTTGCGACTTTATCGAAATCTGGAGTCAGTTTGGTCGAGGAGTTTTTGAGGCAAGAAATGAGGACTGCAAAGTCGGCGTCATTGAATTTTGGTGCCATGATGAAGATCTTGGTTCTGACGATCTGATGGGTAGTTTGTGGGATTTTGAGTTTTAAGATGTTTGTAGTGTATGTGGTGGTGAGAAAAAGGGTGACTGTTGAAGAACGAGTTGTTGAGTCGGGGATGTGGAAAGGATGCTGTAAATGCTGAACCAAGGCTTTGGGGCCAAGTTGAAGATCGTGTGAGAACACTGCACTAGAACTACGAGTGAAGATGATTTAACAAGAGCATAAAGAATATGAGTCGTAGAAAACACTTCGCGTCATGAATCTTCCAGAATATGAGCAACGATCTCAAGCACCAAGAAGAACTCCTAGCCTTTACCGCATTGTAGACTCTCCATGACGAGCAGGCTGTCTGTAATCGCTGAAGCTGGCCATATTGCTCGCGCTGTCTTCTATGGCACGGGCATATGATATAATTCCTCTGCGAGGCACAAATCATTGCCATTCTTGGGAAATCCGCATGCTGAAATAGCTACTCCTCCCTGCCTGCAGCTTGTCCTCCCGTTCCACTCCTGCTCTACCACTACTCCAGAGACGCTAGTCGGCTTCACGAACCTCACCAAAGCCCTCTTACTCCCCGTACTCAGCACTGCTGCCGTCGGCTTCCTTCTTGATGTTTTCTTTGATCTCAACTTCTTCCGTGATCGGGCCTGGAGCGACCTTTGCCTTCTTCCTGGTAATTGATTCTTCCTCCACTGGACCCTCGCCATCTATGTCGGAGTCTCCTCCCTTACGACCGCGCTTGGCAGAAGAACTAGGAGTTTTGGCAGGTGTCTTCTTCGGACTCCTGGCTTTTGGTTTTGGTGTGACTGGTGCTGTTGCGTCCTCGTTCTCGGTTCCATCGTCCTTTTTGGCCTCAGTCTCGACTTTCTTGGTTGTTGCTTTTGCACCACCACCGCGAGCACGATTTGCTGTGGGTGGCTGATCGGTGGTCCAGAGAGCTCCGGCATCTTCCATAGCTTTGATTATAGGACGAAGCTTGTTACTTGTACGCACATATTAGTAGGTGACGGCGAGGTGACCAATAGGCTAAGACTCACGCTACACCACCAACAGACATCGAAAGCTGCGCCGCCACGGCAGCATTGTCGACCACTGGCTTTGTTTTCATGTTCATGAAACAAGTGGCCAAGAAGTTCGTGTCCTTTGTCGCCGCCGCCACCGCTGCGTCAGTAGATTTCGGAGGCATGGTCAGTGGGAGCGGGTGAATTCGAGTTTGAGGTTTTGACTGTTCAAGTCAGCATCTCTGGGTGGTAGATAGAAGTTCCAAACACTGATCTGTCATACCTTGTTGAGACTCAAGTAAGAGAAGCTTTGCAATCCGAGAAGACGTAAGGCGGCTGTGTCAGAGGATTTAGAAGAGGCGGGAGTAGATATGTACTTGCATTTGTCTTTAGTGGACGAGAAGTACAATGAAAGAAGGTTTGGTGAAATGAATGGAAGTTTTGTTGCAAATTCTAGTGTGAACGAAATGGCACTCGAAAACTAGGTTGATGGTTGATGTTTCTAGCATATGCTAGGTGTACTGGGGCCTGGAAAGCAGCCCAACATAGCGGATAGTCCGAACCACAGCTCTGACAACAAGAACACCACATGTCCATAGAGATATATAACTGTCCCTAACTTTCAATGCTGCACAAACTCCCCACCTTCAGTCAATGCGAGCACAGTGCAGTAGTTTTCCATACTTAAGTTCGACCTCCCTAGCCGAAACTTGAGGCGATGCTGTGGAAGTGTAGCTCGTCCAACAGAATGTGCCTGTTCGACCAGATCTTGATGAATTCGAAGCACTTGTGGCAGATTCTCAACATGGCACCCAGTTCAACGCATTCGCTGCTGTCTTCGACAACTCAGATTGTCTACCTGAAAACCCCTTCCTCTTTGTTACCTCTGCCGATGGAGGACTGAACTTTATGGTGCAGGAATCGCATATCTTCATTGGAGACCTCCAGCTATGTGATCATTAACAGGCCAAGGTAGAGTAGATACTCCTGTTGGCTCTGATGCTTTCTCTCGAGGTGTGGTTAGGTTTGCTTCGCGTGATTGGCGCTACATGTCGCTTGACGACATATGACAGTAAGCAGCCCGGCTGTATGTCAAGCAAAATGTTCGATGGAGCGTAGGCACGGCTATGGCGAGTACCTGCATCAGCTTCATAATTGACTTCCGGACCGCAGACCGTAGCTGCAGGCATGGTAGTACAATCTGAGAATGCTGTAAGGATTTGAGGACGCAGTGGAGCTCGTCTTGTGTTGTGAAGTGCTTATCTGGGGCTGGGACACGGATTGGCTGATTGCTGATAATTGGACGACTGCACTTGCTATCGACGCATCTGGCCTTGGCGTATCATGTCGAAGATATGCTCGAATTGGTATCTTGCGGCATTTGCAAGGGTCGGCGCAAATGTCTTATCTAGCCATAAATTCTGCTGCACAAAGAAGACCTGCATATATGGAGTTCCTAATCCCATTTCCTAGCAGTCAGAAGTGCTCTGCTCTGGTTCAACAGCCTACCTTTTCGCGAGGTCGAAGACAATACCGAAGGCCAGCTCTTCGACGACGAATACACTACCTTGTCAGCTACTGTTCAACCTTCACACAAAATTGCATTCAGAGCACATTTTGGGCTTTCGTCTCGGATACGACGCAACGAATGCCACAATGGTCGAAAGTATCGCTGGTGGAGGAGCCGGAACGGGGCAAGAAGGTGCACAAGGAGCTTATCGAGATTCGTGCCCGCCAGATTTTAGAAGGACACATGGCCGACAACTCGGCATGACTCTATGCCAGCTTTGCCAGCGAGCTCTCTGACGCTTTCATGGCCGACAACCTCATTTGGGACACAAATGTGCCTCGAGGCTTTCTTCCGGTCTTGCAGACCCATTACTACACCTACACTCATAATGCCTGAATCCAACGATGTCAAGGCTCGAATCAAGCGAATACGAATTCTCGAAGATGCCAGAGAGCTTGACCATCGCCTTTCTGGGTCTTGCCCAGGCCCTAGAGAACAGAACAGGGGCTACCGCGCATACTGCAGCCAAGATTTCCGGGGAAACATCAATAGCGCTCCCGGCTGTCTTGAATTAGCGGCGTGGGGGTACACTCTGTCTAGACTTCCTAGTGGCAGACACCTTTTGCCGCCTCTGGGGGGAAGCACACCCCTCCATTCCCGAGGCCAGAGAATGTTCGATCTTCGACCCAGAAATCACCTAACATAAAAGAAAAGAAGCGGTGCTGTTCAAGCTTTGAGATCGAAATCAATAACTTGTCTCGCCCAAGTTCCCTTTCTGGATTCTAGAACCAGAAAAACAAGATGTGCAGCTTCGAATGAGGCCGAGAGATGGACCGTGGTGGGCCATCCTAGCGCACAGCATCCTGTTGAAAAATTTGACCTAACGCAGCCCCTCCCGTTTCTTGTCAGAATTACTAACTGGATCAGCTGTTCGAACGGATCACCAAGAACGTGCCTGACAGCCATCGTCAACCTTTTTGCAACCTCTCTCGAACCTCTTGTGCAATAATTGCATCGACTCAGAAGAGCCCCTTGCCAATCGGGGAAGCACGGATACCAGCCGCCGTGACAATGCAGAGATCTACGAATACGATGGCCATGTTACTACGTTAGTTCAGTGGCGGAATATTCCAGGGTCGCCAAGAGCAAACTAGATATCGGCCCATTGATGGCGCCAGTCGATGTGCAACTCGTTTCAATTGTGATGGCCAAGTCTAGAGCCACGCATCCTAACTTACATTGCTACGGTACCAGGCAGAAGTATTCATAGCTCAAAGCTAGAAACTTGATGTCAAAACAGCTCTCAAACGCGACTATTAGTTCCCAGAGTGGTGAATGGTATCAGCCAACCTGATTCGTGTGGGCAGGAACAAGAGGAGCTTCTTTGGAGGAGTGTGTGGCAACGTATTGAATACTAAATGCTCTTAGCACTGTGCTATGGATACTCCTGCTTCATACCATAAGTTAGTACGGAGTACTCCGTACAACAGCAAGGATGGTGGCCTAACAAAATCTGTTCGAGTAAGAAGCGCATTCACAGCTAACCATGGACACGAGCGGAATCGCTTTTCCGCAATTTCACTAGTTGAGTTATGCTCTACTAATGATGATCAACTATACCAGGGCTATCTCTCATCGTTTAGTCTGAAGCCGTGGATTTACATCTGACGAATAAACTCGACGATATTTCTCGGATCTGGACTTGCCAGGAGGGCCTTCTGGTTCCCTTTCTTACCGATTCCGCATCCACGAATGCTGACTGTCTAAACCCTTCAGTCATAGGCAGTGAATTGCAGAATCACAGTTCCATCAACACCGCACCGCCGTGTAATGTGCCCTTCAAAGGATGACTGGTGAGCAATCTTCGGTACCTGTCCGCTAACTCGAGACCTGGAATCCAGACATCGGTACGGAGTAGACTCGAGGGAGTCACGCGTACCCAGCATGGAATTGATATACGTAGTCTGAGTGCTCCTTTCCAGCTCGATTCTCAGCGAACAAGAAGTAGGTCGCAATAGAATAGTGTGGTGGCTTGGGCTCCGAGTATACAAAGATGAACAATCAGAGATACAGCCAGCATGACCTGAGAAGAACGTAAAGCACATAGAACCATTCGAGTGGTATTATACTTACCGATGTACGTAGTACAGTGAAAGAGCGATCAGTGATCCCCAGCTGCTGTGGCTAAGTAGCATGCAGAAGGTGAGACCCACATCTGTCCTCGGCTGTCCCTCTTGTGGATTGACACATGTAAGTGAGGAAGTGTATCTTGAGTGGCAGCAATTATTGCCTGATCGTGAGCCAGTGAATATTAAACATTACAAGTGCTTTGGGCAATTCACCATGGACCATAGTACATTGCCACAATATCCAGAGAAAGGTAATTCTTTTGTATGTGGTCCACATGAATTAGCCGTGAGTTGTGACTGCTGTAAGCCTGACGATTGTACTGGAACAGATTCTTCTCTATTTAACACCAGGATCGGGTTACTGAAGGAGGGAGGTGAAGATGCAGGAAGATTTTTCAGATCTCCAAGAAGTGTGTACTCCGTACCTGTACCCTGTTGCCGCTCTTTTCGCCGCCTGTTTTGGGCTTCATGTGATACAGGAATTCCGGCCGATGGGGTTGGGGAGTCTGCAAGGTTCAAAGACCGTCATCGTAGCGTCAAGAGTAGATGCATCGCAAGGGCGGCTCTAAAACAGCAGCCAGCTGCACAATAGACGAATCCTTCTGCCTTTACTGGATTCATGGACTTGGTACGGAGTATTGTTACCCAAAGCATGCTCTTTGCGTCGTCGTAACCCCCGGCTTAAGTGTGTGCAATCCCTGCTGGTCATCGCTTGGACCACTTTTTGCACCCACCATGGCAGGGTCAAGATCCACCAACACTCACCACACCTGCCAGTAAAGCTAAGCCCACCGCTTGGTCCACTTCAGATGTTGACCCGCCCATCTGACGCTGCTATGCAGGTGCCCATCCGCCTTAGTGACCGACTCGGTAAATCGAACTGCGCTAGGCGTCAGTCCGACAAACTTTCCTCCTGCTACTCCAACGAGAGCCTACAAGGGGGAGATGCAAAGGGCACTTGTCCTGCGCCCCGAGTTCTTCCTACAGCACCGAGAACTTCCTACGTGAAAATTGTGGAGGACCTGGCTGGCAACGAGGATTATATGGTTTAGCAAGACAAAGGCACATCTGGAAAGCGGACAAGACGTGCTCGGACTCGTGCAAGCCACTTCTGATGTGTCGCATATTGTTACCCTGCAAATTACCCGAAATCACCCCCCGGCCATGCCTTTTGCTGCACCACATGCAGAGCGTGGGGGACGTGCGGCCATTGGTGCTACTGCTGCCTTCCAACCTGGTGCCAATGATTCAACACCTGTGGTGGAAGCTGACCAGTTCTACCACTCCCCACCCGACGACGACGCACCACAAACAATTGCCTTGCGACATCCAAGCCCGAATGCTCGCAATATCAAAACAATTACAAGCACCGCTATAGGAGGGGGCAAGCTGGATTTCTCCACCCAAGAAGCAATTGCTCGGCATGGGCTGTTGCAAGAGTCCACCTTCCCTGACTGGGAGGATGACGCCGCCAGGAGTGGTCTCGAAAGCCCAGATGAGATGCAGAAGAAAGATCCATTAGGGACGCAGATATGGAAGCTGTACAGCAAGACAAAGACCCGCTTGCCCAACCAGGAACGTATGGAAAACCTGACTTGGCGAATGATGGCCATGAATCTGAAGCGCAGAGAACAGATGCAAGCCATGTATGCCACTCAGGTACCCTGTCTTTGTCGGTGCTCTCTCTGATTCACGTCCTGCAGGTCGCAGCAGAGCAAGCCTCCATTATTCAGCGGCATTGGGCAGATGCACAAACCAATGGAGGACATCAATGGAACCGCACCCGATCCCATGAATCTTGACGACTTCATCATGCCCAACTCGATCGCTTCGCCTGCCGGTCTTACACCGCCGACGACGGAAAGTCCGGCAAAAGCCGCCCACAAAACTTCTGCTCTACCCATCAACACAAAGAAAGATGCACAGCCGAGTACTTCCTCTACACTCATTCCGGGTTCTGTCCCACAGCCCTTGGCGCGGTCGGGTCGGCCACATGAATTTGACTATGTCGAGAGACGGGTCCGCAAGACAAGTGTCGATGAAAGAAGGGTGAGTGCATACGCTAATTCACGGTCAAGGCCCTTTCTCTGCTCACAGCAACTGACGTTTAGTCAGGCTCGAAAGCGCCCTGCCGAATTCTCACCTCAAGTGCCTGCCACAACTGTGTCAATGAACTCCACTGATGCAGGAGTCGATTTAGGGGTACCAGATTATATCCTGGACCAGAATTCAAGTCGACAGCAATATCCAGTTCACGCCAGTACTCACCCGCAAGTCCCCTTCTCTATCGATACTTTCAACGTTAATGAAGACCCCATTCTCAACTCCGCTGGGCCCTTCCAGCAAAACTTTACCTTTTCTCCAACCGGATCACCCCTTGTAGCTAACGGTCCGTTTTCGAATGTTTACAATCCCACTTCTGTGGCATCTTCCCTCAATTCTACCGATTATTACTCTCCTCCTGCTTCCGGCCTTCCATCCACCGCTTCGACGCCCCAACCCGGCCATGATAATGAACATCAACAATATTATTTTGACGTGCTGAACTATGGAGGTCAGAGACCAGCACACCTAGGACCTTCTATGCACTCGCCATTTCCTTATGGCTCTGGGAATGAGCCAAGATTCAATGGAATGTGTGCGTCAGGAGCTTCTTCAGGTTATCCCATGCAGCAGCAACATGTAAATCCTTCCAATGTGCTTGTACCGGAATATAGACAAAGGGTTTCACCAGGCGTCACCATGGCCAGCCACGACAACATGTTTCAATTTGGAGTAGATTCAGACAACGATGACGACGATGATGGAGGAGCTTTCCCGGATCGAAATGTGATACTCCAAGCAGAATATGGTGGTGTTGGCGACCCCACTCTTGATCTTAATTCCAGCATTCAATGGGATTCAAATGTTCGTGAATACCATGGCTATCCGAGATTTGGACAGGGAAAGCAAGTCAGGATTGGGGGTGCTGAAATCGTCAATTCTCCTCCTGATTGGAGTGGTGGACCAGGGCTGGGACGAACACATGGCTCAGCAGCGTCTGTAAGCGACATTCGTAATCGTGATCAGGATTCCCGGAGACAGAAAATTCCTCGCACCACTTCAACACCCGCATTATCAAATCAAGGACCGCACATGCACCCATCAAACCCCACGTCTCCGCCCGAATCTAGCTTCAGCAGCGCAGCTCCTTCTCGGCCCGAAAGTCCGAGTCTCAAGAACAGTGAACAGAATGGTGCTCCTACAACTTGCGCAAACTGCTTTACGCAGACCACACCTTTGTGGCGGCGTAATCCAGAAGGTCATCCGCTCTGCAATGCTTGTGGGCTGTTCCTGAAACTGCACGGCGTTGTTCGGCCGCTTTCTTTGAAAACAGATATCATCAAGAAGCGCAATCGCGGAAGTGGAGCTACGATGCCTGTTGGCACAGCTTCAACCAGGGCGTCTAAGAAGGCATCTCGAAAGCCGTCGATACACCAGACACCCGTGACAACTCCCAATTCTAATCAAACCATGAGTGAGAACAATTCAGCTTCTCCGCAGTCAGTACAAGGATCAACCAACAGTGGACACACCCCAACCACTCCGACATCATTCCCTCCCACCACTAACGGCGTCAAGGCTGGTGTTGTCCCAATTGCCGCTGCACCACCGAAGCCCGCACCTCCCCTGGCTGCAGGGCAGACAAACCCGCCCTTTCAGGTCACGCCAAAACGTCAACGACGTCTCTCGAAGGTATCAGCGCCTTCTGCTGGTTCCGGAAGTCAGCAGCCTCTGGTGTCGGCATCTTTACCGGGCCGTGTGAACGATGTCACAGCATCACAGCCTATTTCTGATAGCAGACATGTACAGGCTCCCGTTACTCGAGCAAAAGCGGCCAACTTTTCCATCAATTCCGGACCAACTGGAATGGCAACCATAATGCAGGGTGCAGAGATGATGGGCTCAGGTCGCGCTGGAGGCATGAGTCAGGGCCTCACTGCTGCTGGGCAGCAGAACAGTGGTCAAGAATGGGAATGGCTTACCATGAGTTTATGAGTGGGATTTGTCCTGCACAATGTCCGGCCGGGCGTTGAACCAACATACTCGAATTTGACGGAACACCACCGTAACCACTCAAGCTTCTTTAATAACTGTTCATACACCAATCGCCTTCCTCGAGTGCATTCCTACTCCTTCTGTGGTGGAACGAGACTACTCTCATGTTCGCGCCGACGTCATTTTTTGCAGGAGTCCTCTTGAACATTTTTCTTCTGGTTTGGATTGTTATGAGGACAATCTAGTCCTTTCCCTCCACCAGTCTATTTGGCCTGCTTCCTACCTTGATTGATATCACCGCGTCTGTCTCGACGTGCCTTTTTAGGCGTCGGCAGAAGTGCGCATCTGCTTTATAATTGTGTTCCATATTGATTGAGAGTGGAGGAAAAGGATGACAGGAGAAGTGGTAGCCATGGGAGCGAGGAATGAGAGGGATCGATTGTAGAGGTCAGAGTCAAAGATATATGGTGTATGAGAATTGAAGACCTCACATTTTGAAATCATCCAACTCGGAAATCCTGGCTTACAACTATGCTTCTAGTTACATGACAGGTTCTGTACATCAGGATATCCTATCCCCTACTCCGTACTTGAAATCCATAGGCGTCAGCCACCTATATCTAGCCCCTGATTGGTGGGGCTCATACCCGTACTCCATGCCTAGACTGAGCAACCCCGAGACCCGCCTGCGGACACGTTCCGTTCCGCATGTATTCGACTTTGACTGCTGACTTAACTATCGGTGCCCGGTCCGTGCCATTTTTCATGCAGGGATACCCAGCGACGTGGCCCTCGGGAAGCACAGGCCTTCCGGGCCTTCGGGCCATTGTTGAGGAGTTGCAATCCCCATCGGCTTACGAACCATCACGTCAACATCACTATTCGCCCCCCCCGCCTATCAGGCCCCCAAGCAGCGAGCGCAGAAATTTCAAGGCCAACCCGAAAAGATCCTGTGGCCCGTTATAAGAAGGCAAAATACGACGGAACCACAGTAGCGCCGAAAGGGAATTGAAGCTAGCCAGTAATTAAGCCTCCTACCGCCACATCATCAGTTTAACCAAATAAAGTGGAGAGTTAACCACGGTGGCTCTGCCTGTGTGCCCTGCAGCGGATCAGGCAAATATGGTGCTTACTGTGCGTTGCAAAATTGTTGCGAATTCCTTGGCGCTAACCCTCGAATTGCTGGCGCTGCGGTGCAGATTGTGATGAGGGTAGAGGATGGCCATTTACCACCTAATTATCGTAGTAGAATGCCCAAAATCGCCCGGATAGTAAAATAGACTCTCTTGTGACCTTGCTGCTGAAATTTCGGGATAGAAATCATAGTGTTGAATCGTAAGAAACGTTCGAGCGTAGAGAGAGCTTTAAGGAGGATCGCAAGGAGGAGGATCTCAAGGAGGAGGATCTCAAGGAGGAGGATCTCAAGGAGGAGAAGAAGGATCTTAAGGAGGAGGATATTAAGAACTCCTCTTTGAGATCCTCCTCCTTAAGATCCTTCTCCTTATTATCCTCCTCTTATAGATACTCTCTTCTCTATAATCATACCCCTCTTTATTAGTATTTCGTCTAACTATAACAAATTATAAGGCTATTTTAAAACGTATAATTTACTTGTTATAAACTTAACACCAAGAATCAGCTATTGAGATAAGGCAAGACACAGATTTCAGCAAGGTCTATAAGTAATTTTAAGCAATTTCTACGCGGTTTTGGTGCGTAGAGAGCTATTCCTATATCTGACCGCAATTCTGCTCCGCGGCGCCAGCAATTCGAGGGTAGTTAGCGCCAAGGAATTCGTAACAATTTTGCAACGCACAGTACTCCTGGAGCAACGAAAAGGTCATCCCGCCAAACTTACACTCCTCAAAGATGTCAATCGTCGTTCCAGGCAGGATCGCATGCTCAATACTGTTCAGTTACTCTTCCGAGAACCCACTCTTCCAGAACCTTTCTCCCCATTTCCGTCCCCAGCTCAATCTCAACCTCTATATCGCTGCCATTCACTCCGTGGAAATTGAATCTCTATCTAAACCCTTCATCTCGTCTGCTTCTATCGTCAATTCTAAGCCTGACATTGCAGTAAAATGCACTCCTGTCCTTCTCTCACTCTTCTTTTTCTCTTTTCACTCTCTTCCCTTTGCCCTCCTTCCTAATCTCTTAGCCACTCTGCTTAACCTGTCATGTGACCCATGCACTCTTTTCTTCCAACAGCGCTGAAACAAAGAAGAAGGAAAAAACAACAACAGTTGTTCTTTATCCTCGATTCACTACAGACAGGTTTCGAGATTCGCAAGAGGGAGAAGGGAAAGAAGGAGGAGGTGGTGGTGGTGGGTTTGTGTGAGTAATCGTCTTCCAAGTCCTCCAAGTCCGAACAGTTGGTTCAAAACGCTAGGTTGGAGCACCATGTGACCCGCCGAACCAGTTTGGATGGACGATTGTCACGGGACACAGTTTTTGTTGATGAATGAGCGAGCACCCATGGTATCGGTCTTCTGGCTTTGTCGTGAGAGAGGGTGATAAAGGTATGGAAAGCTAGATGTAGGCAGCGAAGGAGGAGGAGAAGAATCAGCATCAAACCTTTACTACTGACGTATGCTACAGTAACCACAGGCAAGCTCGTGCTATCGAGCCAAAAATACTAGACCAGACGAGCCCAACCCGGACGGAGCTCTTTCTTGCGTCATCTGATTCAACGATGGCAGGGATGAGGAGGAGGACGAGAAAAACGACGGGATTCCCCACCGCGCCATAGGTAGATCGTACCTTCGAGCTCACAACGAAGAATACTAAACCAAATAAGATACTTCCAACCCCCAAAACCCTCAAAGGGGATTTTCTATCTCCTGAAAAAGTGAATGCGACTCGCTATCGAAGCGCAACCTCCTCATATCCACCGCACCCATATTCCAGCTTCACCCCAGCCTCTTGCCAGCCAGCCAGCCAGCCAGCCAGCCAGCCAAACCCAAGAATCCAAGCTACCTCACACGCAGGGGTTAAGCATGGAGCACACCAACCAGTCAACCAACTAACCATCTGAATTTGATCACCAACCTATCTCCGCAGCATACCCCCATACATATCCCCATCCAAATCCCCCCATCACACGGGACATAGACCAAAGACGACAAAATAAATACTCTTGTAGAAAGAAGTAAGTTAGAGACTTCTTCTTCTACCTTCTACCATCCCTATCATCTCCCTTCTCCCGTCTACCTCTCTTTTGCCCTTCTGCCCAAACCCCCCTGCCTCAAAAGCCCTATCATCCCAGAAACACCCCGTCCCTAGGTTTTCCACTGTTTTCATAAACACGTCTGGAGAGATGAGTGATAGACACAAGAAAAAGAGTTCGGAGAAGGGACGGAAGGAGACATGGGATGGAATGAGATGAGATGGAGTGGAGTGGGATGAATACGTAGACGGAAGGAGAGGGAGAGGGAGAGAAAATGCGCAAGAGAATCTGGAATAGGTAGGATGATAGAGAGGAATGGGGCGGCTCAGGAGAATATCTGGAAAAGGAACAAGGCATAATCCGATAGAAAGCGCCAGAAGAATTTGAAGCACAGTCTGTTTGCTTCTTTATTGCTTTGGTTCGATCTTTCACGATTCTTGAAAGTCCTTACTGCTTTCCCAATGCTTCCAACCCTGCATCAGCGCCCCCATCAGATCTAATGTACATCGCTGCCTCGCCTGACAGCGGTATAAACAGTAGCAATATGTCTCTGGATCTTAGTTGCCGATTGTTGATTCATCTCATCAGCTTGCCCCCCATCTGCAACATTAAGGACAAATAGTATCCAACCAGACCACACAGTCCAGCCCAAGCAAAGCGCTTGAACGTACAAATGACGGCTCTCTTATTCGCAATACGCCATCTTCCCATTCATACTCCCGGCCCAGCCATACGACTTCCCGACCGATAGCTGACAACACTCGCTTTTCGGACTGTCTCCTTGATTGCTTCCTTCCGATCCGTTTGTCCCCGGTATTGCTTCTTACCCCTAGCCAGCCAATCGACGGCGATGATGAAGATGACCACGGCGTAAACGGCGGGGACATAGTTCATGTCTAACAAAGGGTCAGACTTCAAGGAGAGGAGAGCAGCGGCTGGGGGGGGAAGAATGGATCTCCTTCTCAAGGAGACAGAAAAAGCAATGGGTAGATGTATTTGTTGGTACACTTACTGTTGGCGGTAGCAGGATAGTAGTAAGGAAAGCTATACATTATGATAGTAAACAGTGTCCAGGCGAGGAGAACACAATTAGCGAATAAGCCGAAAGGACCAAGCCAGAATGGTCCGTGACGGATGGAATTGCGGCCTCGAACGAGAAGGGCGATGACAGGGATGGAATATGAGACGTATAGGAGGACAATGCAGGCTGCGACCATACTAACACAAGGCACCAATACGTCAGTTCTTCGTTCTTCTCACGTAGTGGCGAAACAGGGGTCGGCATTGGATATCATGGGATAGAAAGAGACTATAAACTTACGAATTGAATGCAGCATAGGAACCGAGGTATAGGAGTCCGACACAAGCCACGATAAAGCAAGACACACCATGTGCAATAACAGGGACGCCAAGGGTAGGATGGACTTTGCGAAGGAATTGATGACCAGGAATACCTCGATCTCGTGCAAAGGACCAGCACAACCTGCTCTGCCACGTATGAGATGCGGCCAGACACCCAATACCAGTGGCAATGATGAGAGATTCCAATGCGATAGCCCCGGCATAGTTCCCAATAGCTTGATAGAACAATTGCAAGATCGGAACAAAGGTAGCAGTGTTTGTTATACCTTGCAGGTCGCTCAAGCTGAACATCATGCTGATGCTGAAAAACCAAGCTGTCACGAAGCCGATGGCAACCGTGCCCATTATGGCAATAGGTATCATTTTCTCTGGCCTCGGGACTTCTTCGGCCAAATGTGTTGCACAGTCGAGACAAGCAAAGGCCCAATTACAATTGATAAGACCAACAATGAAAGCGATACCATTTTGGGGCCATCCGGTTGAGTTGATAAAGGTAGCGAAAACGAATTTGGCAGATTCGTGGGTTGGCGCTCTGGCTGGAACGGTGATGAGGATCACGGCGAACGAGACGAGAGAGATGTATAGAGTACAGGTAGCCAAGACTGGTAGAATACGGCCATAACAGTTAAGGAAGAAGGAAAGGAAGTTAATCAACTGGTAGGCTACTACCACATGGTAGGGTTCGATGACACTAGACAAGATTAGAAGTAAACAGTTGTGAGGGTAAGAGAACTTAACAAGTCAGGATGAGTGAGCTGCCAGCATCCCACAACGGCAGCGCCCATTCCCAGTGCAACCGATGCGGACGTGAATATACTCCCAGCCCAAGCAAACCACCCGGTAAGGTAGCTGGCGAAATTGGCGTATTTCTTGGGTGCGAGCTCGTTGGCCCAGAAGTATTGTCCTCCGGCATTAGGCAACGCAGAAGCGAGTTCCGAAAGACTGATGCCGACACAGATTGAGATGAGACAGATGAGTATGATGCCGTAGACCAGCAAGGCAGGTCCTCCAGAATTGATGCCGGTTACCATAGCCAAGGATATTCCGAACCATGAATTTGTCAAGGAAAATCCCACTCCGAGAACCGACCAGACAGTAAAGTTTCTCTTCATGTCCTGGGTATAGCCCATTTCCGCCAACTTGAGGGCATCTTCGTCGATGGGCTCGGAGTTGGAAAGAGAGTCGGGAGGAGAGGCCTTTTTCATGTCGTCTGCTGCCATAATGGAGAGTTCTCACTCGATCGGTTGGAAGATATGCCGTATTTCGCTGTGACCACTTTCACCAGCCAGCTCGACGTGGGGAATCAAAATGCAGGAAGCGAGTATTATTGGTGCTTGGAGGGCAGAATGTACTGATTAGCCAGTGCTTAGGGCGATGAAGGATGTGGAGTGTAAGTGGCAGACTCGGATCTTGTAGGTGACTGAAGAAGGGCTTGCAGCTTGAGGTTGTGGTCGCTTCAGGCTAAGATCATGGATAGGTCCGTAAACAGGAAGGAGTGAAACACAGGCGAGTCATAGCAAAAGCAGCAAAGCAGCAAAGCAGCAGGAGCAGTGATTTCAGTGATTTCACAGAGAATACAGGCCAAGGCCCGGTTGAGAGCAGAAGAAAGCTTGCTATTGAGTATGGGCCAGCTTACTGGGTGGTGATGAAGAAGACGAGATCAGGACCAGTGGTACCTTGCTATGACAGGCAGATAGGAAAGTGTAAGTGGTACGCCTGTGATAGGGTGGTGAGTGGTGAGTGGTGAGTGGTAAGTCAGATATCTACAAGTAAGAGATGCGAAGTGCGGACAAGATGCACTGGCAGGAACGGGAAGTGACAGCCCTTGTCATGAAAGCCACCTCGTAAATGGAAGAGCAGCCGCGCCTCTGGGGAGAGGAAGGAGCTTGTGGTGTGGTGTGATGTCAGTGGGAAGGGCTCCTACTGTGGTTGGTTCGTTCGTTCGTTCGCTCGTCTACTTACATTGGAAGGAGCTCTTCCGGGTTGTTCTGGTCGGGGCAAGCGGCCAAAGAGGGAAAAGCGGACCGGACAAAGAAGGGGGCAAGCCAAGGACGCACATCTCGGATAGTTCCCCACAGCAGATTTTAGTCGCCCTCAATGTCATGGTCCAGAAGACCCCGAACGGTTGGCGATCGAGGCACCACACAATAAGTAGGTATCAGCGGCCTCTGTGGAGGATAAGTGACCCGAGCAACCATGTGCCATAAGTAGTACCGTATCCGTAGGATCAAACGCCCCAGATGCATTCTCGTAGTTTTTTATGCCATGCATCTTGTACACCCTCATCAAATCATTTTTATGTAGAATGGTGTAACAATGAATTCATTCTTTGGTATGATTGGTTTCATCTGAACGCCACAGGCACTCGCATGGTTAATAATGGTTGAGGCACCGCTTCATTGGCGCAAGGGTTTTGAAGATAAGCACCTGGCAAAGAAGAGTTGGTCGGTGCACTCTTAGGGCGATAAATAGTAGTCTAGAGACATGATGGCATAACCAGTAACTTAGCCCACACTCAGCAATGTTCTGCGCCTCCGCTGGAAGGGAATAGTTCCAGTCCTAGCCCTGGTCCATTCATGCATGAGAGCGCAATTATTTCAGTGGTCACCAGTTGACGCCCCCAAGTCAAGCATTGCCGCATGTAATGCAATGTAATGTGAGAGAAACTCTAAGCTGTTAAATGCTACGTACAAAGACCGGTTCACAACAGATATTAAACTATAAGGGCTCTGCACCTCCAGCTTAACCTCCCCGATGCATTCTTTACGCTCCGGGAATTGGTTTCCCGTGGAGCAGAATTGTGGGTACGTATACTCCACGAGAACCAGGCAACGGAAATCTCGGACGACTTTTGACTTTGGCCGCGATCACTATCAGGTCAACTGTGCCACTGATAAGGTAACATGCTTTTCATTTACTTGTTCTCCTTATCCTTGCCACTGAAGACGGAATGTTTCGGTGCCTAAGCACTAGGTTTGGGAAGGATAAACAGGCATGGAAAGGTCCCAAACGCTGGATGCGCTTGTGCTTGCGCTTGCGCATGTGTTGCTCGGAACTCAGAATTGTGAAAACTTCAGGCATGTGCTGCGTATGTTGATGAAGGATAATTCTTGCCAAAATAAATCGGCGTTACCTTTGTCGACATGAGGAAAGCAGAAGAAGCAGCACAGCGTTTTATGGGTTCGCCGGCGATTGTTGAAGGCCCACTTACCTAACTCACTTCGACTGAAAGTCATCCCTCCTGGTTGGGCCAATGCAAGAATGAGGCACAGTAGAAACACCAGATGACCCCACGAAATCTTCCTTCGGGTGAAGCTGAATGCAGGATATGGCATGTGCGGTAATGCTACTCAGCTTTTGGGCGGACGAGTATGTTGTGGCATGATAGGGTAGTAGAAATGGGCTCTATAGCTTTGCGACGGGATACAGAATTGGTGGCATTGTCATTCCAGTTGATGATTTGATCGGGATCTTTTTACTTCTAGCGAGGATGCTTTGGAGTGAAAATCCTGAAGCTGACTTGGTAGGTATCATCGCTCCCCCTGATACATAGACTTTCTCTATTCGGTGCCCTACCAGAACACAGCAAAGTAACCAGAATAAATCGTTCATTCCTCCATACTCTTCTCTATAGCTTCTAGGTCTATATAGAGGACTTGACAGTGTCAAGTTCCCAACTTGTGTTGTAGATGGAAGTTCGCGACCAAGTATTGTATATAAAAGTCAAGTAAATCTAAAGGTATTCTGAATCTATTTTAACCCCATCAATCGTGCGACAACCGTGGACACCAGAAGCTCTCCGAGTGTAACTGAATTACTCGCTCCGCATCCCGTATAATCTCTAAAATGCAGTGTGTAGAACGAACCATCAAACGCCTTGCTTCCCAATGCTCGTATGATTGCACTTTGTCCCTGCTTTTGTGTTCAATCCCTTTCATGCCTCATCGTCCGTATCCGGCGGATGGGGAGTTCCTTTTGCCGAGTTCAGCCATTCAATGTGGCGCAGTCTCCTCCTAACATCCCTTTCTTTTAATTGAGCTCGAGTGAGCTTCTTCTTCTTCTTTGCTTTGAACTTCATATCACTCGTATCTTCTGCTCCTGAATTCACGGCTGATGCTGCGGCGCTGCTCATTGCCGAGCTCACGTTGCTTGAGCCGGGTCGTGAGTCTTCAAACCTATCAAGGGAGACAGCGAGATGTCCTTTGTGGGTGACCCTGCCATCAGCAACATGCCATTGCTCCGGGCAGAGAGCGCCAACAAATTCTTCGTTGTGACTAATCATCACGACGCCACCTTTGTAATCACGAATGGCAACAGCAAGCCCTCCAAGAGCGTCACGGTCCAGGAAATTGGTAGGCTCATCAAGTACCAACAGATGCGGGTTGTTCCACATGGCTCCCGCAAGTACCACCTTGACCTTTTGCCCACCACTAAGACCAGAGATCTCGTTGTGGTTAGCGATTTCAGGATCAAGTCCAACGTCCTCAAAATGCTTGGATATGACTTTGGGCTCAAGGATGCGGAATCCAAGCCCTTCGCGAGATGCCTCGTGATCATCGAATTCTTGGACCAGCTTCTGATAGCCCCAGTCCAACAGCGTCTCACGTGACACTTGACTATTCTGTTTCGGAAGCAAACCAACCCATTTTCTAGACGAGCAATCAGCACACTGGAATACCATCAAGATAATCAGACCACAAACTCACACTTCGTACTGGAAACTCTTCTTCCACTTCTGTCGACCCATCAGATTCTCCACCTGTCTTTGACCCATGCCCTCGCCAAGGTCGACGTATTTGGCCATTTGTGCTCGGTCCTCGTCTGTCAGGATGCGTGTTTGCTTCATAAGCACTTCTCGATCGTCTCCGTTGGCATATCGCCACTGCAAATACTGGTTAGGCGTCTTCTCCATATGCATCTCCACGTGTTCCAGGGCGTGCTGTTTGATGTAGCCAATGCGCAGATTCGGATGCTTTTCGACCTTCCCAGTCTGCGGGATGGTTTCGCCCGTCAAGAGCTTGATTAGCGTTGATTTGCCGGCACCGTTGCCCCCAATGATCGCGACGCGAGAAGACAGTGTGAGCTGGCAGGAAACGTCCATCAAGCTCGGTTTCGATGCACCAGGATAGGTGTAGCTGCAGCCTGTCATGCGAATGATCGACCGGGTATTGGACTTGACACCTGTTAAGATTCCTGGTGGTGGAAATTTGAACTGCATCTGTGAAGCTGACAAGGTATAATAGCTCTTAGCTTCAGGCTTTACCTTGACAAAATCTGCCAGATTTCCTCTGTAGCACACCAACTTTTTCTGCTCATAGTGGTAGATGTCGGTGCAAACCTCGTCCAAGAAGCCAGAGTCGTGGGAGACAATCAAAGATGTGATCTCGGTATGCTTCTTCAGATACTCTTGCAGCCACTTGACATTTGCCACGTCAAGATGATTGGTCGGTTCGTCAAGAAGGAGAACGTCAGCGCCCATCAACATAGCCCTAGCTAAGGCAAGCTTCATCTTCCAACCACCAGAGAGTGACCCCACTTTGTGTGATTGGCGACCCTCGGGCCCGGCGGTGAAGCCTACTTCGCTTAAAACTGTCGAAATGCGCTCTCTGCCCTGGGCAGCAAGTTCCGGATCTTTTGAGACGAACTCTAGGATGCTCAAATCAGCATCTTCGCCTTGATTGTGTTCCACGAAGCAAGTCTTCAACTCGTCCTTGCTAGGAAATCCTTCAAGCTTGCCTTCTGCAATGCTGCGCATCAGAGTCGACTTGCCGGCTCCGTTGCGCCCGCAAAGACCGTAACGGTGGCCTTTCAGCAGTCGGAGGTTTGTATGGGATAAAAGAAGCATACCTCCGTACGCTAAGGAGAAGTCCGCATTGACAATCTCGACTTCATCTGTGTCCTCTTTGATTGGCTCGCCGTATTTGCGTTCGTCCTCCTCGACGAAATGCTTATAGACGCCCTGTGCAACCGCATCACAATTGGGTTGCGGCAGTAGAGACCGTAAATAAGGTGCTATACGACCATGAATTCGTTGGAGCGCTCTGGTGTTGACATCTTCTCGAACCATTTCGGAGACGTATGTCTGGCCAGCTTTCCAGACGGCAGCATCCTCCCGGTGCACACCTCCCTGGCTTCTAATCTGACTATCAAGGGACTTGAGAACGTCGTCAGTCGTTACTCGCACAATCTGGCCTTTGGCCACGCCGTCTTTGTCATCTCCCATTGCTTTGTTGATCACATTAACAGCACGTGTGGCCAGCTCTCTCACTTCAGGCAGCGACGCTCGGTCCTTGACCTGTTGCACACCAGGTTTGAGTTTGGGTAGAAAAGCACGGGCTTCAACTGGATCATGAACTAGTTTCGTCAAATTCTCAACCACCACCACCGTCTGCCTCAAGACTTCTTGTGATGTGGAGGGCGTATTAAGAGAGCGCTCGAGGAGTGGGGTGAGGAGTGCGAGAACGGGAGAAGTGACTATAGCAACGAAAGTGGTCTGAGACAGGGCATGAATGGCTTTCTGTAGAGTCTGTGTTGAGGGATTCTTCATTGTGTCGATAAGTAGTGGTATTCGCGAAGCGACGTCGTCGTTCTGTAGGAGCGAAGTCAAAGAAGTCATTGTTTTCACGGCTGCTTTACCAACTTCAGCTTTCAGGTCGTGCATACCACCTTCTACAATGGGAATCAATTCCTTCAGTGTCCTGCCCATCGATTCTCTTAAGACATCTTTGGCCTGTTCTTCTTCTTTGCTGCCGGTTCCCATCTTTGCCTTGTCCGCAATTCTGCCCATAAGGGTATATGCACCAACGGTACCTTGCCATTTTCCTGTAGGCTTCAAGAGATATCGCTGCAATGCTGGAAGCATGCCAACTACGAGCGCTTCAGGCTCGAGATTCTTGTACAGCTCGTCTACGGCATATTGAGCTGATTCACGAACCGAAGAACCTTTGTCCGCAAGTCCGTCAAGTGCAAGTGAGAGCAGGCCGCCATCTTGCAGCAGGAAGATGACCTCGCTCAGAGGCTCCTCGCGAGGGAATCTCTCGAATAGAGCTCCAAGAATGAACATTGCGCTTTCTCGCTTAGCACCATTCTTCTTGTCATTCGCAGCCTTCTTGACCTCTGGAATCAGGTTGTAGCCAAGAAGGCCCCGGACACCAATGGATTTTATCAAGGTTTCCGTCAGTCCATATGCAGTGTCCAGCGAGTCTTGTGCCTTATCAGCATTGAATATGATGTTGAGGATGGCTGCGATATCTTCGGCAGGCGGAGGAATGCCCGAACAACTTGACGACTTTGGGACGATGGTCGACATGGCGGGCGCAAGCGTAGGAGACAACTGGTGTGGCATTCTCTGCAACTTCTCCGACGAGGAAGGCTCAATCTAGGACAGGCGTAGGAAATCCGAGTTTGACCGGCCAGGACCCTCAGCCGCACTGTGAGGAACAATGGCGTCGCAGAAGGCTTGACGTATTGTGGAAGGATGAAATATAGATGCTGAAGAGAACGTGGAGCGGCCTCGCCAAATTATGGCCTTGCTAGCCACAAGGTTGTAAGGGAAGATTTGATATCTTTCATGGAAGACAGTGGGGGCCATTGCTACAGTGTCATCAAGTGTGAGGGATAAATTTCGTACTAGTTAGTTAAGCTTATCGATAAACTACTGTAACGAGGATTTTCCCCAACCTTCTGCCGATCCCAGGGGATGTCAGAATTCATCTCCCCTGCCCTCTTACCCGTGGGTCATCCAATGTGAACTAAATCCACCAGCCCAGCAAGAAAAAACATTTTAATTTCTGAGAGACTTTATTTCACGCTGGCTAGTACAGTTAGATTAATCTCATAGTAATAACAACCACTATTCGAAGGAAGTGAGTTGTGGTTACTCAACATGGCTTCTGATGCTAATCCCTGTGCATGTGCTGTTCGATATGATGTTCAGAGGTTTTGTAGTTCAAATATATTTCATAGACTGATGACAGAAACAGAAATTCTACTCCTACATAGTGTTTATCCATCATTACATGACACTGTCCGATCACAAGCCAGCAACACTCAAACAGCCCGTCCGATATCCTCGATCTTCACTGCTTTATCCTCTTTCTCACCACATTCACAAAGGTCCCCGCTTTCCATTCGATACACATCACGCTCGCCGGATGTAGTGCCGCTAGGTGTCCTTGTGCGCTTGTATAGGCTCGCTGTGGGCCGTATCAGACAGTGCTGGAAGAAGGACTTCAAAGCAGGAGCAGACGCCGCCACGATGGCCAGATTCAGTTCGACGATGGTCCAAATCCACATCGTGTCCAATTCCCACAAGGGATCCCAAGTCCTGTTGATAACAACGTTTAAAAGAATAGTTCGGATAACACCGGCCACCACGACCCTATAGAGTATAAGCTGATGCCAGATGGCCAATCTTGAACAAAACACTCACAGGAAGCCCAACGCAAATAGTGTATAAAGTGCCAGCTTTTTTCCTCGTGGTAATTTCAAGTGCCATACAAGTGCCAAGGGGAGCACCGTGCTATAGAAATCTCCTATGACGCTAAGGACACCGGATATTGGCAAACTGATCTCCTCTTTTCCACAGTGAAACGTGTTTCCAGCCTTCTGCCACTGTGGTGAGAATTGGTTCCAGTAAGCGTCGACAGGCCTGCAAATAAGACCCAGTGTCAGGCCGAATCCCAATGCATAGCCTATGTTGTAGAGGATTCCGATCCAGGTCGCTACCCGGAAGGCTACAGGAAATGGCTGAGAAAGACGTTTGTAGAACAGTAGGATGCTGATCTTGATGCTTGATGATGCAAGGACGTAACACCACTCAGATGACCAAGTTAGCTAGACATTGTTGGTAAGCCATTTTATGCAACACATAGATGCTGCGAGCTCTTACCAAACGATTCGGCGTAGCCCAGCTGATAGGCAGATCCCAAATATGGAGGCCTGTTCCATATTCCTTTTTGGCTAGATGCATAGAATTAGAACATTGCTTGCGGGTGGGAGATGCCAGTAGTGCAATACCGATAACTATTAGAACTGCCAATGAGGTGCTCAGGATCTATTGTCATATGAGCGTTACTCCCACGGTATCGAGCGTAGCGAAACTACCAGTGATATGATACAGAACAAATCATCCAGTCCTAAAGCTTTGGTGATAATATACCGAGCATAGATTCGAGCGGTAACGAGGAAGAGTGAAACGCTGGTAAAAACAATACAGACGTATATTAGAGCTGGACCTTGAGTCCCAGGATTCACATAATTCGGCCGTGGCCATGAAGCAATGACCTCCGGCGGCGCTGTTCAACTCAGCTAGTTAGTATAGAGAAGATGGAAGTTAGGACACAGGATGGGGATGGACGGAGAACTGACGGTGGAGACTACTGCCCATACTTATCGCCCAACACTGCAGGTTATCAGCAGAACCATTGGAATCGCAATCAAGAATTCGACAGATCGGTGCTTAAGTATATGCGGCGCATTAGAGTAAAAGATTCCTTTGCACTATTGAGATTGTACCCATATGCCTCGAGCCAAATAGATCTGCATCGCGGACGTAATCTGCACCTGCGCACCTGGAAGGTTTTACCCATGGACAAGGTAGAACTCAAATCATAGTGAATGGCAACATGACGCAAGTCCAGGGAATGTGCAGGAACTACCCGCGTTCTTTGTGTCAACCTGTTCTGAGCTGAGTCCACCAGCTCGACAGCATTTTAGTAAGACACGCCACAGGTGGAAACGAGATTTAGCTTTCGGATATATCACCCAGAAGATCGGTTTGATAATAGATTGCAAGATGGTCAATATTCTCAGACCGGAGAGTCTTAGGAGGTCCGAAGTGGACGCCATTAGTTGACGAGTTCCCAAAAGGACCAGAGAGATCGGATCTGTCCCCGTGTTCTTAGTGAAGGAATCGATGTCTGCGAGACAGATCTGGATTTGCTGGGAGCAATGACCAGGCTATCCTGGTGAGTTGGTCGACTTTCGGAGCAAGGTAGATCCTACTTTCGCATCAAAAACCTAGCAAGATGAAGGCAGCGGGTCGTTCCTGATCTGCAAGGCAAAATCGAGCACGGTCGGCCCAGCCCATAGCGAGGACAGCTTGGCGGCGAGATGCAAGTTCCAAACCTTCGACATAATGCCCTTGGATTGAATCATGTGGATCAATTGAAGGTGGCAAATAACAAGTGGCGCTGCAGAAAAACGCGTGACGAATGCTAGACAAGGGGAAATAGGTTTACAAACATGCTACCCACAAAAGTGGCGAAGGTGGAGGCAGACGCAAGCCGTTCTCATCCATAAAATATGCCCATTACAACAGCTCCAGGCGTCAAGTTTCGCTTAGAATAAATGTCTTATCGGATCTTGCTTGCCCATGACAAATGACACATGACACGACAATCTCTTGGCATCCTTATTTAAAATCCATGAGCAGCTCACTTTATTCTATCTCTAGGGATGACGTACGTAGAAAGCATTTCTTTGAACATATAAGTGTTCATTACTTCTCCATCTGAGTTGCCGTCTTGAAATTGTGGCGTTGTGTTTCGCTATTCGTGATGAAAATACTTCCGATTACAAAGATGCGCTGGTAGAGGTGTTTCTCTCTCATTGTCGAGATACAGCATGATTATGACTTCAGTGCGGATTCCGGGTACCTTTCGTCCCTGAGGTCGTATAAATGTTTTCCACACCTTGCATCTACACATCATCGTCACTGCGAATACATTAACTAGTCAGTAGTCTTCACATTAACCTTTCTGGATCTCCTTAGCAGCACACGAAATCTTCAAACCGAAGATGGTTAGCACCTCAAGGCCCAAGCAAGACTTCCGCCACTAAATCGCTTAGTCACAATTTCTTCAGCCTCCGATCGAGTTAGATCGAACTCCAAATGTGGAACTAGCCGTGGCCCAATGGGTGGAGCCCTTAGAAAGCCCGAAGCTTGGCGCCAAAATTTATGGCACTTCTCAGATTAGTGCTTTAAGAGAGTAACTTTATTAATTAATTGCACTCTAATTAAATACTCAATTAAGATGAAATTAAGTATATATAGAATTATATATATAAAAATCTTTAAACCTAAAAAAAATATAAATATATCTTATTATTTATTTATTTGATTCTTACACTAATGTGTGGTCCTGGCCTAGGGCTGGTCCATACAGGGTGTTACGAATCCTCCCGCGACCTACGCTAAGGACCATATTCCCTGTGGCACTGACCATGGCTCACAGAGCTCATCTCGGACCCAGCTCCCCGCCGCTATTCTAGCTATCACTGACGACAGGTACCCACAGTTGTCTGTACCTGGCCTCAGCGAGATAAGGGGCACGGACATGTATATAGAGCGTTGTGTTCTCTTTCGTTTCCTTTTCTTCACGCTTCATCTTGTATATTAGGCCCAACTATAGCTCTCCTGACATTATAAAGCGTCTTACTTATTTTTATCTTCTAGTCCTTAGGTCTGCCTTAACCTATTTTCCTTTTGTTATTATTCCTTGTTGCTTAGTCTAGGCAGTAGAAGAATCACTGCCTCTCCTTCTTTTATCTTATTCTATGTCTTTTCCTCCTTAGAAGAGTCTGAGATCTCTCTTAAGTCCTTTTTATCTATAGAAGTTATAGCTAACGCCTAAATATGTCTTAATAATAATATAGTTAACTTATAAGAACTCTTTTATATACTTATCTCTATATATAGTCTAGCTCTAATTTATACTCTCTAGCTCTTTAAGCATCTAGCTTAAGATCTAACTTAAGGTCTAATAGCTTAGACCTTATTAGTAATAGTTATAGTTTTATAATAAAATTAATAACTCTAATATATATTTATAAAGTTAAAAAAGATTATAAATATTCTTATATTTAATAGCTTAAGACCTAATATTTATAAAGATCTAAAGAGGTTTAAGGTAAGCCTTACTTTAAAATTTAGAGTTAATATTAATAAATACCTTATACTTATATTATATATTTATTATATATTTTCTTAACTTATAAATTATGCCTTAAATATTGCTTTAAATAATATTAATAAAGAAATCTATTTAAATTAAGTAGATCTAATTAAAGAACTAAAGCTTAACTTTAGTAATACTAACCAGATC